TTTGTTTTTTGCTAAAGGACAAACCCTACAATTATTAGAAAGAAAAAATTCACGGAGTGTTACTCAAGGATACAAAGGAGAAATTTAATTTTTTGAAACGTAGAAGATAGATTGTCCGAGGGCGCATGGTGCCACAGATCAGGCGAGCAATGGACACTTGGCAGATATCCTCACTCCGAGTGGATGGGTGAAACACGAAGGCAATCATGTGGTTTAAAGTCCTCCATGTGTTGTTTTACCCGAGTCCAATCATTCTTCCCCTGTTGTCAAGTCCTGCAAAAATACATGAATCAGGAAATATATTGTAATGCCAATCAATGAGATTCTTGGCGGTAATCTTCTTTTACTGGCAGGAAATTAAATTTAAACGAAAAGAAGGGAACATATATCACGTTTTTTAAAGGGTCATATTAGGACTGAAATTTTGTACTGTGCCAGTTTTGTTGTGATTGGAGCCAGTTGATTCCATTTTGGTAAGTTGAACTTGAATAACGGTTTGTGATTTTAGGTGTGAGTGATTCCATTTGGTAAGTTGACTGAATGAACGGTTGGTGATTTAGTGTGGCTAAACAGATGTGAATCTGCAGACACGTGGTCAGTAGTACCACTATCTAGAATCCATGGGTTTGATATGGCAGAATTGGCATAAGCTTTGGATAACGAAAACAAACCTGCTGCGTTTGCATACACATCAGTGTTACCAGATGAAGCTGCTTGATTAATTGAGGATAATGCCTGTGCTATCTGTTGTAAATATTCAACCGAATATCCCTGGAATTTATTAGGATTTTTTTTTTCTTCATGAGAAACTTCGGAATAATTGGCCTGAGGAATGGCTTTACCATTGTTTCGTTGTCCTCCACGATTTTGGCTTGAGAAATTGCTACCTGCTCTTTCTTTTCTTTTAATCCTACAACGATCTTCAGTATGTCCGTCTTTATTACAGTAATTACAATGAAATTTTAAAGTACGACAATCATCAATAGTATGTCCTCAAAATAGTATGTCCGGCTGGTTCTATGCACAATGATCACAAGTGTTTTTTTTAGATGGAGTTTGGAAAATTGACCTTGTTTTGAATAGCGGCAGCAATGGGAAAAAAATTTCGTCCAACCGGTTTCTGATGATAACTCGTGCCTCATGCAGATTTCTTCTTGCACTATTAACGGTATGCTTCGATCGCCACGTTAGGTAATGGTTGTCATCATGAGGGAATATTAGATTTATCTTACGCCCTTATATGACTCATGAGACCCTATTAAAAATTTCGCATCAAGACTTGTCTTCCTTGAATCGTTCGTTTCTAAATGCGATGCAGTCTGATTTTGCAGTGTGAAATGGGGTTCCGATAAGTATCTAATTCGTCCCATAAACGCCTTCAGTTTTGTGTAGTAAAGAGGCTAGCTGACATGGTAACCCTGTGTTGAATTGTAAGCGAATTATGATTTTTGAATTTTGGAAAATTGCTGGTGCATTCTTTCTGAGAATAGAAAAATTGATCCCCGAAAGATCAATCCACGACTTTGTCTGTGCGCAGTTTTTTTGCACTGTTTACTATTACCTTCGGCTAGATTTAGGTTTCAACAGATGTCGCGTTAACCCGATTTGATAAAAAATCATGCTGCTTGCACTGATTCCAAATAGTGTGGCAAATCTTCAGGGGCCCTCTGCAAAATCTGCGGGCTCTTCTACCTGTGAAGGAGCTTCAATGGATCCATCAATAAAGCCAATTTTGTTTTTGGCAGTGAGTGCATGAATCATGGCTTTGCTCCATGATTGATAATTGGCACCGTTTAACTTAACGGGCACAAGAAGATGTCCAGGTTGGTCAGAATGATGGACAAGGAATGGGTGAGAAGGATTAGGTATAGGCTGTTCTGAGGTTTTGTTTTCATCGCTCATGGCTAAAGGAGGACAATAAACTAGACCCTCAAATCAGGCTCTGATACCATCTAAAATATCAAGCGAAGAAATTAATTTTATGGAGAATTGTGTATTTCTTATTGATCATCAACACTAATTTATACAGAGATATATACCATATCATCTCCTAAACATCAGCCTATCATTAAGCTATTTACAGGTAATTGATCAGCCTTATCATTAGCTATTATACAGAGTAATTGATTGTCTATTACAAATAAATCACATATCTAAATCTAAAATATCAAGCGAAGAAATTAATTTTATGGAGAATTGTGTATTTCTTATTGATCATCAACACTAATTTATACAGAGATATATACCATATCATCTCCTAAACATCAGCCTATCATTAAGCTATTTACAGGTAATTGATTGTCTTTACAAAATAATCACATATCTAAATATGGAAAAGATAAATACAATATATTTTCCTTAATATAGTACGAAATGCTTTCTCATTATTAAATCATATTTATAAGTGACCCTCGACATATTTGGTAAGCTCTCTAAGTCAAGTTTTGAACTCAATTTGTTGTTAGTATGTTTTTATCTTGAACAGGCAAGATACTAATTCATACATGATAATAGTTCATTTAGAGTGGTTTATCTCACATCAGTCATTTGTCTTTAATGTCTTAATGTGTCTTTTTATTTCTCATTTTGTTTATTCTATCAAAGGGATCAAAATCAACCAACAAAAAGGTTGCCTTGGTGTAGACATCTTCCAACAAGATACATCGTTAATGATAAAAATGTGACAGCTAGTTTGGACATACTCCAACTAAACTACCATTATTAACAACTAATAAAGCATCCAAGAGACATATGCAGTAAAAGACATAATTCTTAAAGGTCAAATTAGTATTTAATCAAGCAAGTGCATTGTATTGTCTCTCATCCCCTCTAAAAGTTATTATATTCTCATCTCAGGTCACATCTTTTCCCTTTGAGAGTTATTGCATTATGCTTAAAAACAACATATTGAGCAATTTATAATTAAACAAGATGATATAACTAAAGTTGCACATCAAACTTGCTTGCTTACTTTTGTAGGTGATGGTGTTTTTTTTTCCTTATAACTATGACTTGATTTTATGGTCATGATGAAGTTGAAATTTCATTTAGTTCTAAAAATCTAATCTAGGCGATGGTGTTCTAAAACACTTAATCAAATAGTGAACATTATGTACATTCTTTACTCATCAACTTTAGTTAGCTCGTGGCTAAACAATTTATCTAATCTACAGAGCTATGAATTTCATTAGAGGTTCATGTAAATACAATTAATCACTTCGAGAGAAATAAGCTACTGCAATTATTTTAGCGCATATTTTACCAAATAACGAGGCTTAGAGAAAAGGGTATGAGTTAGATGTATATACTTGCAAGAATTGTAATACTCATTGGGATCACATTTTTGCTCTATAGTGAGATTGTTTACTATGTATGCCTATTATTAAGATGCTTGAAATGACATATAAGGGTGGTAGTAATCTATACCATAAAAGAGAATTCCGTGATTCAATAACTCTAATAGAATCTTTGGAATTTATGTTAGTTCGCTTCTAATAATATTAATATTATCTCATCGATGAGTGATATTATAAAGAGGATATCAAGATATTATAAATACAATAAGTTTAATAAATATTACCGAGGATTTACTTTAAAAGATAAAAGATGATTCATGAAGTTAATTGATAAGGTTTTTTTATTTTTTTTGTTAAGTTGACATATTTATATGCAACTCAAGGAAAATGATGAGAAGTGAATGAAGAAGTGAAAAAATCTCCATTATTATTAGCTATTTATACAATCTTAAACTTACAACTACAAGAGTTAAATCAGAATATCTGGTTTTGTTTCACATCTTACTCTTCATTATCTAAATTTTAAAAAGAAATATTGATTCAAATTACTATATTATATCTAAGAGTTTTTTCAGAAAAATCTCACTAAAAATGATGAAATTGTATTATGATATAATGATAAATATTAAAAAATTATATATCTTTAAATATTTTTTAAAAATATTTTAAAATTATCAAATGTAGATTATTTTTGTTATTTTACTAAGTATTAGTTAATTGTAATTTGAGCTAAGAGATTAAATTTTCTGTTCCAGCCACTCAAAAAAAAAAAAAAAAAAAAAAAAAAAAAAACGAGCTGAAGGGAAATGTTGAAGGGGTGAAGATGGTAGTTAGTGTAGTAGTAATGTGGAGTAAATAATTAGAGAGAGGGAGAATGTAGGATATCTTTGAGGGAGATATATGTGGTGGTGGGGTTAGGGGAGAGAGGAAGAAAGAGAGAGTATTTGTAAAATGTGGATCAAGGAAGTGGTAGGGGCATTGATTTGTTTGGATCTTTACTAAGGTATTAGGTTAGAAGTGTGTAATTTTAGCTAAGAGATTTAAATTGTTCTGTTCGTCCAGGCCACTAACAAAGAAAAGAAAGAAAAAAAAAAAAAAGAAAGAGGAAAAAGTCCAAACGGACTGAGTACGGGCTCGGGTTGGGGGAGGTGCGTGGTGGGTGGTCCTGGGAGGTAGTGGCTACGTAGTTTTCAGGTTACATGTGGGCGGGGGAGTCCGGTCGGAAGAGGGTAAGCAAACGTGTGCACAGGGTAAATCAGAAAATTCGTAGTTTACTGAGCTAGAGTAGCAAGAGCGGTGATTCGGTGGACGCGGTACCGGGCGGCATAGGTGATGCGTTAGAGTTGTATTTTGGTTCTTCTTCGCTAGCCTGATTGGATTGTAGGTGTTGAGTGTAAATTGCTGTACAGTCGGAGAACACGTCAATAAAAAGTGAGGAAATCCAGAGGAATGTAAGACTTTTCGTTCTTTTAGAGTTGCTTTTCGTCTCTTACCAAAAAAAAAAAAAAAAAAAAAAAAAAGAAAAATCCAAACACTAGTACGTCGTTATCTTTTTCCTAGTATCTACTATTTTCATTACATGCGGATCCTTCAAGAAGGTAACAAACGTTCACATAAATCAAAAATTCTATTTACTGAGCTAATACAACTATCTGGACCGTACCGCATATGATCTTAATTTATTTTTCTTCTTCCTACCTATTATTTATTTATTAAATTCTCAGTTCGACACGTAATAAAATAAAATCCAATTAATTAAGACTTTTCTTCTTTAATCTTCGTCTCTTCCGCATTTAAATGTCTCTCTGCTCTATTTTTTCTATTTGAATCTTACATCTCTCCGCTTCCCTTTCAGGTCAGCTCTCTCTCCCCCCTCTTTCTCTCTCTACTTTCAGACATTCTAAATTGAGTTTCGAATTCTTTAATTCATCAACCAATTTGATGATGACATCCTCAAATCTCATGTAATTTGCTAATTTATGTGATTGTTAGTTGTTGATTTTATTTGATTTTATAATTTTTTAGTTATTTTTGTTTGTTGAATAAAGCTTTATAATCTTTAATTTGGAGGACAAGAACTTGCTTTCTGGAATTATGTTTTGTTTTGTTTTGCTTTGCTTTGGTTGTTTTCGAAGTGGAAAGAAAGGAAAGCTTCTTGTTGAGATCGGAGAACCAATCAGCTATTTGTTCAAAAGGGCAATTTTGTTGTTTCAGATCTCTTATTAGAATGTATTCATAAATTCACTTTTATCGCTTACATAAATAAAATCAATGGTTTAAATAAAACTATGTTGTGGAATTGGACGAACTTGACTTACAGTTGGAATTCTCTCCACTTGTAGCATTATTTTGGAACCGAGATTCTAGAATACGACTTGTTTTGCAATGCACCATAGCATTTTTATTTCTTCTTCTTCTTTTCCAGATTTCAGTTTTGCTGTTGCAAGTTTTCTGCTGCTTGTTCTGTTTATCTATTCATTTCTGTTTGATGACTTTGTTTTTCCTATCAATTCTTGTGTTCCATCAGATTATTTGTTCTCTTTTCCACGGATGCTAAAACCTGAGGCTTTCAGTAACTACTGATCAATTTTATCAAGCGCGCATGGAATCACCCAGTGAGTATCATACTATTTATTTGATATGCATTTACTGAATTTTGACTGCTGTGAAATTGTCACTGAGCAGAGAGCCCAGGAAATGCCATTCATATGGGTTGAACACCTATAGTTGCACATTTGGCTTTTTGGTCAAGGTGCAGGGGCTTGCTTATTATGAAATTCACCACTAGTAATTCTGCCACATAGCAGGATACAAATCATTAATTATATCTTTAAGATGTGACACGGGGCTTCCTGAGTCTTCTCAAAATTAGGTAGTTTCATATTGTGGGATGGGAGAGAACCTTAAGTTCAGCATTTCAAAGAAATTTCTTAGACTTGAGAATTCTTTGAAGCTTCCCATTCTAAGAGATCATTTCCAAGAAAGAATGTCAGGTGGCTTCGCAGCTATCTGAAAATGTATGCCTTCTGATTCTTGAACGCATGTTAGTAGTTGTGACCTACATTGGAGCTTAGTCCTTTAAAGGTTATGGGATGGTTTAAAGGTTCCAAATTTTTTAGTTGTAAGAATGATCACCCGTTTTTTTTTTTCTTTTTATTTATTTATTTATTTATTTATTTTTTTTTGGGGGGGGGGGGCGCTTGGGCTGGATTGCAGTTGAAACGCCGAGTGTGTAGGTAGTGGTGTGAGCCTACATTGGGTGAGCTTGTATGCCTTTAGAAGTTATGGGGGGGCGGATGGTTGTGTAAGAGGTTTCCAGAAGTTTGTTTGAGTTGGTAAGAGATGATCACCGTTTTTTTTGTTGTTCTTTTATTGTGTATTATGTGTGAGTTGGGTGATTGGTATTGTTTTTGTGGGGGGGGGGGGGGGGTGGTTGATCTCCGTTGGGACGGAGGGGAACAAGGGTTGATTTTTTTTGATGGGGTATAGCTGGTCTAAGGAGAGTGTGGACTGAATATTTCATGCTTGGAGAAAACAGACTTGCGACCGTATGGAGTAAGGAAAAGGTGAAAGAGAGTGTTTCCCAGTTAGCTTGTAATGGAAGGTCGAGATGTCATTTCGAGTTGGGGGCAAGAATAGCAACATTTCGGGTTGCGGATTAATTCGAAAATGAGGAATAAGGAGTCTAAGAGTTCAGAAAGAACAGGTGAAGCTGAAAGCGCGTGGTGTGTGTGTGGAAGATGAGGGTGCTGGTCCCAGGTAGGACGGAGAGTGGGCGGTGGTTAAGGCTATTTTAGTTTGAATGTTTCGGGCTTCCTTGGTGAAGATGGGTGAAGTTGGCGCGGTGTCTCCTTAAGGTAAGGCATTAAGGGCCTACACCCTGAGGTGTGATCATGGTCAGTTGATGCAGTCCATGGATTTTGTTTCGAAGAAGAACAGCTTTAGAAGATGGATTTTGGACAAAGGTTTAGAGTTATGGCTTTGTGTGTGACAGGGGGGGTGTAAAAGATGGGGGGGTGAGGATTGTTAAGAGAAGTAGGAAGGAGGGGGGGGTGGAGAGGGAAGTGTGCTGTGGTGGGGATCATGCAAAATCCCGCCCTTGGTGTGTTGCTGGGGGGTTGGAAAATGTGGGGAAGAGGAGGGTGGTGGTTGTAGAAGGAGTAGCACCCTTGTTGTAGCGCTGTAGGGTGGTTGTCCGCGATCTGGTTGGAGGGGAGAGGAGAGTGGAATGGGAATGACCATTTTTTGGGGGGGGGGGGTGTATCTCCTTGACAACAATTTTTTTTTTGATTATAGCTTCTAAGGAATGTGACTGATATTTCATGCTTTGAGAACAACTTGCCTATACAAAATTGAAAGAATTTTCCCATTAGCTTTAATGGAACAATTCATTTCATTGGGGCAAGAATAGCACATTTCGGTTGCATTAATTCAAAATTAGGAATAAGGATCTAAGATTCAGAAAGAACAGTGAACTGAACCTTTTGTTAAATGAGGGTCTTCCATAGGACAAGTGGCGTTTAGCTATTTGATAATTTTCTACTTCCTTTGAAATTATTCCTGTCTCCTTAAGTAAGCATTAAGCCTACACCCTGATTGATCATTTCATTGATCATCCATATTTTTCTAAAACACTTAAAATGATTTTTACAAATTTTAATTTATGCTTTGTTTGGACAGGTGTAAAAGATGGGTGAATGTAAAATAAGGGGTGAAAATTTCTTGGGATCATCAAAATCCCTTGTTTGGTTTGGGTGAAAATGTGAAGGAGGGTGTAAAATACACCCTTTTTAGCCTTATTTTCCCATTTTGGGAGGAAAATGAATAATACCATTTTACACTCCTATTTTACTTCCTCCCTCTTCCCAAACATAGCATTAGTATATGCCGTTTTTTCAAGAGAAAAATTGTCGTGAAATGAGATTGGAATTGGATATCAAATATGGCTATTGGGTGGAGTTGAATTAAATATTATGTGTCTCAACCATATGTAAGAAACCCTGGATTGGTTGCTGGAGAAAATTCATTAAGTTGGTTAATTGGATTTTATTTTTGTTAGCCTGTTGAGGAAGAAATTGGATTTCTGTCAGGATTTTGACATTTTGAGGACGACATTTTGCAGCCCTTGAAGAATATTGAATTTTATGATTGTGCATATTAATCAATGAATTGATAATAGACACCTATTATTAACAGTAGGATTCATTTGAATTTGATGGTTTGAGGTGAAAAGGAAAAATTTTCTATGGATTATGTTATTGGAGATTCTATATGCAATCAGATCCACCATCCCCAACCTTTTTTTTCCCTGCACTGATTGCTAGTGGGATGCAGGTGGGAACTGCAAAATTTGCCTCCTCACACCCTATTGCTTATATATAGAAGGTTGGATTTGCAGTGTGTTGGGTTAGTACAAAGGTCCTTTGAGAACAAGCTAAAAGGAAACAGCTCCTTGGACAACAGCTAATATTATTTAAGATTGGAAGACATTTGCAAATGCTTTGATATGGTGTTTTTCGTGCTTTATGGAAAGTTACTTGTGGGAATGGTCATTTGGCTAGATTATCACTATATGTTAGATGATTTTATCAATTATGCTTTTATTCAATCTGTTGTTAGCAATTGATATTTGAGAAAAATAAAGAGGAAACTGTGATTGTGCAGTTGCGTAGGAGGTACTTCTTTCTAAATGCAGCTCGCCAAAAATTAACATTTCTTCGTTTTTTTCATGTCAATTTTGTCTCTTCATGTTTTTATTATTTTTCTAAGTCTGTCATGATTCATTTCTTGTTTCAACTTGATAAGATGGCCCAAGTGAGCATGCATGTCCCTTTTCCCCTGCATAAACACTGCTAAAAAGGAGAATTTATTTTATTATGTGCTGTTCTGCTCATGTACTTTTCCTCCATGGATTTTCTTGCAGTTGGTGGTTCAAGACACACATCTGTTGTTGTTGTGACATTGGATTCTGGTGAAGTATATATTGTTGCCAGCTTATCATTCAGGACTGATACTCAGGTAATATATGTTGATCCGTCAACGGGGGTACTTCGCTACAGTGGGAAGCTGGGCTCTGATGTCTTCAAATCTGAAGATGAAGCTTTAAATTACATTACAAATGGATCCCGATGGCTGTGTAGGAGTACAACTTATGCAAGGGCGATTTTAGGTTACGCCGCCCTAGGAAGCTTTGGGTTGCTTCTTGTAGCTACAAAATTAACTGCCAGCATTCCAAATTTGCCTGGTGGAGGTTGTATATATACAGTGACAGAGAGCCAATGGATCAAAATATCACTTCAAAATCCTTTACAGCAGGGTAAAGGAGAAACAAAGAATAGTCAAGAGTTAACTGATCTTGACATTGATGGGAAACACTACTTCTGTGAGACAAGAGACATCACTCGACCTTTTCCAAGTCGCATGCCCTTGGAAAAGCCTGATGATGAATTTGTTTGGAATGGATGGTTTTCAATGCCTTTCAAAAACATCGGACTTCCATTACATTGTGTCACTCTTCTGCAGGTTCTGCTTCACAACTTAGTATATTCACATTGATGCTTTTCTGATTGCCCATGTGATTTAAAATCCCAGGTTCTCACACCTAAAACACTCGCGTTTAACTAAAAACTCAGATATGTCTATAAAGCCCACAATCTTATATGGAGAAGTAGAAATGGAAAAATTGTTAACTATTCCAATGAAATATTTAACTTCCTGAATCCTAATGAAATATTCAATTGCTTATTTTCGTACTACTGAAAGAATAACGATTGCGAAGAGGTGTTTATCTCCAAGTTGAGCTAAGTTCATGAATTAGATTGAGGCTACGCTTATGGGCAGGAATATAAACTGTCTCAGTGTGCTTTTAGCCTGACCTGATGTCTTTCGAATATATGGTTTGCAAATCTTGCAAGATATTTTATTATGCTAGCCATGATACTTACTTTACACCTTGTTGTTTTCAGGTATGTAGTTGGATGTGCATATATATAATATAGATCTGTATTTTTAGCATTCATACATTTTACCGACAAAAAGGAAAATTTTAAATGAAGGAATACAATCGTCATAAGCTAATAAGTTGGTTATTTTTAACTTCCTAAATCTAGTTGGAAGATCATATTGAATTGGGAATTTAGCCTATATAGGATTTTTGTGGCTTTATTCTTTTTCAGATTTATCATTACCTTTCAAGTTTCTTCAAAAATATTATATTTTTGAACACCATCGTCTTTGGAAAACTTGATGTCCACGTGCATCAAATTTTCCATGTTTAGAGTAGAATTAGTATGATTCAGACTACGATGTTTGAATTCTTTTTTCAACTTGTTTATGTAATTAGGTTTATATAAGTGATGTTCAAGATGAAGTTTAGCATTGTTGGTTTTCTGGTTCTGTGTTGAAATGCTTGGGAAGGAGCAATTTTCTGTACTTGTTTTATCATAGTTCCTGATTTGTTTTTAAGCCATTAAGACCATACTGGCATATTTATTTTTTCCGTATTAGTTTATTATGCTTTATCTGATAGCTTAGTTTGATTACTCAAATTCCTGAATAGTCTGAGGATTTTAAAGATTATTGAATCATATTATCACCATAATATTGTATCCTACTCATTTTGTCTAATTTTTATTTCATGAATTTATGCTATTTATTTGGGACCTATGAGAAATTTTTGTAGTATTTATATGTGTATCATGATTTAGTTTACAATCTGTTAAATATCGTTGAGGAGCAGCTACTTCTTGCTCATCATTGTCACTGTCTGCATGCTTTCATTTCTGTTTTCTCTTTATTGGCATTTCCCCCTAATCCATATTCACGAGGATTTAATTGCAGTGCAGTCTTATGTAAAGGAGAGAATATGGTGGCTAAGATAGAAATTTTACGTTTTGATTCTGTTTGCTTGATATTAATGTATAGGGCTTTGCAGAGTGTCGAAGTTTTGGAAGCCTTGGTCAGTTAGAAGGGATCGTTGCTCTTACAGCTCGTCGTAGTAGGCTGCATCCTGGCACCCGATACTTGGCTAGGGGGTTAAATTCATGTTTTAGCACAGGTAAAAAATTCCAGCAACATCACCTTGAATAAGATTTTGTATTTTTGGTCATTTCTTGGGTTCAATGTTGAGGAATTATTTTAAATGTGTCTTCTTCAACTTGTTTGTACTGTCCACAGCTTTTTTTTAAGTTTGACGTATTTTTACTATGGCTTTTTTTTTTTTTTTTTCAGCTCGTCGTGAGTAGGCCTGGGCATGCCGTGGGCAGCGGCCGGGGGGTACTTGGGCGTAGGGGGTTAGAGATTCATGGTGTTTAGCAGCAGGGTAAAGAGAATGTCCAGCAACGATCACGCTTGAAATAAAGAGATTTTTGGTGAGTTTGGTTGGGGTCGCGATTCTGGGGTTGCCAGGATGTTGAGGGAGGATTATTGTTAGAGAGTGTGTCCTTTGCGTTCCAAGCTGGTGTTGTACTGGTCCACAGGCTTTTTTTGTAAGGTTTGTAGCGTGATTTTACTGTATGCTTTTGCTTTTTTTTTTGGTATTGGTAGAAATTATGAGCTGTGGGCTTATAAGAGCGAAAGATGGAGAAAGAGCGAGGAGATGTGTGTTGCAGTAGTGTAGTATATTTGGGTGGTGGGTGCTGATGCTTTAAGTGGGTGGTTTAGAGGCGGGGGGGCTGTGGGTCGATTACTTGATCCAGTGGTGCAGTTGCATGAGATCAGCTAGTGTGTTTCCCAGTAGTGATTGTGGATGTTTTTTGCGTTTCGATGTGTGGGTTGTTGGCGATTTTTGTGGGTTTGCGCGTGGAGTGATCATTGATAGTTAGCATTGGCGGTGTCGATTTGGCTTTTTTTTTTTTTTTATTGTAGAAATATACTGTGCTTATAAACAAAATAAAGACAAATTGTTTTCATATGTATATATTTTGTGGTGTATCTTTAATGTTGTTTAGAGGGCCTTGTCATTACTTTGATCCATGTCATGCATGAATCACTAGTTTTTCCCATATATTTATTTTTTTCTTTTCATTTGGTTTTCATTTTTGTTTTTCCTATATCATTGATATTACATTGTTCATTCCATTTTATGGTCTCTCTCTCATCTTATTTGTTCAGGGGTTTTAAGTGTTTTTTTTTTTTTTTGGCTGAAATTGCGAACAATGTTCATATACAGGAAATGAAGTGGAGTGTGAGCAACTTGTATGGGTGCCCAAAAAGACTGGTCAAAGTGTTCCCTTCAACACATACATTTGGCGAAGGGGCACAATTCCAATATGGTGGGGTGCAGAACTAAAGATTACGGCTGCAGAAGCAGAAATTTATGTTTCAGATCGGGATCCCTATAAAGGCAGCTCACAGTACTATCAGAGATTGAGTAAACGGTATGATGCTCGAAGTTTAGATGAACCTTTTATGGAAGGTCAGAAGAAAAAAGCTTTTGTTCCCATTGTATGCATCAACCTGCTCAGGAATGGAGAAGGGAAGTCAGAATCGCTCCTAGTTCAGCATTTTGAGGAATCTCTAAACTATATCAGATCAGCTGGAAAACTTCCTGATACTCGACTGCATCTAATAAATTATGACTGGCATGCTAGTGTAAGACTAAAAGGTGAACAGCAAACAATTGAAGGACTATGGAAACTTCTAAAAGCACCTACTATAGCTATAGGCATTTCTGAAGGGGATTATCTACCTTCACGTCAACGGCTTCAGGATTGCAGAGGTGAAGTCATCTATAATGATGATTTTGAAGGTGCCTTTTGCTTAAGATCACATCAAAATGGAGTCATACGTTTTAACTGTGCTGATTCTCTTGATAGAACAAATGCTGCTAGTTACTTTGGTGCCCTCCAAGTTTTTGTGGAACAGTGCAGGAGGTTGGCCATATCACTTGATAGTGATATGGTATATGGTTATCAGTCAGTTGATAACTATGGTGGATATACTGCTCCTTTGCCACCTGGGTGGGAGAAACGGTCTGATGCTGTAACAGGGAAAACGTACTTTATTGATCATAACACTAGAACGACAACGTGGAATCATCCTTGCCCAGATAAACCTTGGAAGAGATTCGATATGACATTTGAGGAGTTCAAGAGATCAACAATTTTATCTCCTGTATCTCAGCTAGCTGATCTTTTTCTTCTTGCTGGTGATATCCATGCAACACTTTATACTGGTTCCAAAGCTATGCATAGTCAAATTCTTAGCATATTCAATGAAGAGGCAGGAAAGTTTAAACAATTTTCTGCTGCACAGAATATGAAAATTACATTACAAAGAAGATATAAAAATGCTATTGTGGATAGCTCTCGTCAGAAGCAGTTGGAAATGTTTCTTGGAATGAGACTGTTCAAACATCTTCCTTCAATTCCAGTTCAGCCTCTAAATGTATGTTCTTTTATTATTTTAGGGCTTCTCAATATCAGCTACATATATATATATTTTTGCCTTTTTTTTTTTTTTTTTTTTTTTTGTAATGTGTCGTTTTGATTATTTAGGGCTTGCTCGAATATCAAGGTACATATATATATATGTTTTGCCTTTTGGTTTTTTTTTTTTTTTTTTTTTTTTTGCCTTGTCAGTCTAGCATCTGCCATTTTAGAACTATTATTTTTTGGTTAGGTTTTCGTTACAGAGTATTTGGCCCTAGATATAGGTGAATAGAGAAAAAAGATCCAAGCGAAACTCCACTAATTTGAGTCTAAGGCTTTATTGAGTGAATTGAGATAGCTTCAATTTAGGGATGACCACGGTTCGGTTTCAAACAGGAACTGAACCGAAAATGAACCAGTCAAAATCGGCATTAAACCTTGGTCAACGGTTCTGGTTCTAAAACCGTAGCCAAAACTGTGAACTCAAGGTTTGGTTTCGGTTCTTCATTTTTTGAAACTCAAACCGACGGTTTTGTTTTGAAACCGGCGGTTCCGGTTTGCAACCGTGAAGAACATGTTCTTAAAAAAAAAATCCAAACTTATTGTTTTGTTTTATTATAGTTTTTTAAAGTAATTTTAAGAATTTTTATTAAATTGATTTAGTTTTTTTCAAGCTACAAAATCTTAAAAAAACATTTTAAAAAGATTAAAATATATTGTTTAATTTCAGTTCAAAGCGGGAAAAAACCGAAACCGGTGGTTCCAAAACTGTCTAGAAGCTGTTTGGTTCCGGTTTCAACTTTTTCGTAATTGGAACCGGCGGTTTTGAAATCGAAACCGGCGGTTCTGGAACAGTGGTGATGCCTACTTCAATTTATGGTTCTTAATTTTTTTGCCCTCCTCTTCCTCCTCCTTTTTGAGCTTTTCATCAGTTATATCTTGCTATTGTTCTTTCATAAACACCTCAATTAAAATTGAAAGCATTTTGGATTTGATAATATCTATGAAATTTTCCTTCATATGATCTCAATTGACGTCTATTGCTTCATTTGCTTTAGTCATACACAACTTGGGTGTTTTGCATTAAGGCTTCACATTGTTCTTGATCACCAAAAAGATAAGTTGATTTACATTTTGTTTGGGAAGGAGAGGAAGGAAAATAAGAGAGGAAAATAAGAAAGGATTGTTACTATTTATTTTCCCTCATTATTTTCCATCATATGTTTGGTTTGGAAGGAAAATAAAGGAAGGAATTTTCACTCCATCTTCATCACTTTCTCTCCAATTTGGAGAGATTGAGAAATAGTGGGGAAGGAAAATATTGAAAATTTTCTTTCCTTCCAAAATTTCTCCCTTATTCCAAACAAGGGAAAGTGAGATGTCCAATATATTTTCCACCTATATTTTCTTTCCTCCCATAAAATCACCACTTCCCAAACAAAGTATTAAAGTTGAGTAAACTTTCTAATTCTTAAAGTTGCTTAGTTTTGGTACCATATGCCTACACATTTCTGGAACTTTTCTGATGCAATAGCAGATTACCATGCATGATTAATGATATATGCTTTGAATGTTATTTTTTTCTTTTTTGTTTTTGAGTAGCTATATTTTGTTTCTTTGTTTGTAACCTAAAAAACTTTTATTGGAAACTTCCATGGAATTCAAAATTCAAATGTGTGATTTGATCTCACAAACTTTTTTTGCTTTTGGCAAATTGTTGGTTCATTCATGTACGTTCAAGAATAATTTTAAGTGGATAAAACTATGAAGCATTCTTGTGGATGTGCCACATCTTAGTGATGTGGTGTCTTTGGGGGGAATGTTCTCCTTAAATCTAGCTCATCACTTCCACCAAATTTAGTGCATGTTGATCCCACCAAACATGTTGTCTAACATTGTTTTTTATCCTTTCACATTACCATAGGACTTGATTATAGCTTACAAACATGTAAGCATTCTTTCACATGCATACAGTATCATATAGACACAACCATAGTAATGCCAATAGAGTGATGCTTGGAGCTGTCTCCATTGGGAAATTTGTGGACGACCAACTCAATGGTAAATTATAACAAGTTAAAACAGAACTCTTATCAAAATCAAGACATAATTGTAGATTACAACAACAACAACTAAGCTTAGTCCCGAATTAGTTGGGGTTGACTATATAAATGGAAGTTGCTGTTTCTTCTATCATTAATGGAGTTTTAGGAGGAGTTGCACTTCTCCCTTACATACCAGAGTTTGACTCAGGAATTCTTTGTTTCCAATATTCGCTCTGATAAATTTTAAAATAATTTTTGTAGAAGAAAACTTTTGAAGGGGAATTCTAAAATCATTTGATATATTAATAAGTAGAACAAAGCACAAAACAGGCAACGACAACTAACTAGGGTCTGCTTCATGAATCTTTTGGACTTTTAGAATTGTAGGTTAATTATTAAACTTGAATCTACTAAGTTGTTTCACTTGTCTAACAACTTTTTAAGTGAGAAGCTCTAGCTCTTTTTCAGGTGTAAATTACTTATTCTGAGGCAGAATGATAAACAATATTGTCCAGATTGTTGAAGATGTTTCACTAAAAGAGCATATTTTTTCATCAAATAATTTATATGGAATGTACTGATTAAACAGGATTTTAAGAATATTCATGATAGTAGGTCTTTTAGGAGCAAGGGATTCTTCAGTTAAATAGTCTGTGTGCATTTATTTTTAGTGTATTTGGCTGTAGTAAAATGCTATAAGTTTGAAGACTCGACTTTACCACTCTAGCACATGACAGTTCTCTTGATTTTGTTTTGGATTTTTAGAGGGATTATTTTAGCCGTATCTATGATCTATCAGGATTAGTAGCCTTTTTGGCTTTTCCTATATTCAAGTTATTGTTAAAAATCATTTGGTTTTTTGATATGTTGCATTAACCTTTGCAGGTACCTTCTCGACCATCTGGATTTTTTCTTAAGCCTGTTGCCAATATGTTTCCAAGTGGATCTAGTCTTCTGTGCTTCAAAAGAAAAGATCTCATATGGGTACTGGAGAGCTTTCTTCCCTTATCTTTACATTATATGGGGATATTGTACAAATTGTAATGAGGCCCCCTTGATTCAACTTTTGTTATGTCTTTCATATTGACATCTGCCAGTGCTGCTTTCCTTTGGCTACGTTTATTTTTTTTAAGTTTGTGTAATATTACCTATCATTTTTTCTAACAGGTTTCCCCACAAGCTACTGATGTGGTTGAACTTTTTATCTATCTTGGGGAGCCTTGCCATGTCTGTCAGCTTCTTCTAACAGTATCACATGGGGCAGATGATTCAACTTATCCATCAACTGTTGATGTGAGGACTGGACGCTACCTTGATGGGCTTAAACTTGTTGTGGAGGTCTGCATTGTCTCTTTTGTACATCTTGCTCCTTAAAGATTATGTTTACAGTTGCCTTGTAATCAATAATTTCTTGGGGGTTCCAAAGGATATAGATTCCCCTACTTTTGGTGCAATGGTCAGTGGATCAACCCGAAAATTTAATTCCTCTCTTTCGAAGTAGTTTTCTTTAGGAAAAAACATCATGTAATATATTTTCTGGCCAATTGTGTCTTAGAATAGAAACTAATCATGAAAAATATGCAATCATTGCCTGGTTGTTTCCCGCTGACCATGATATTAGGAGTGGAACCTTCTTTGGAAGAAGAAGAGAATGGTATGGGGTTAATTTTTTGAATGAGCATTAAAATTTGCTGGAAATGAATAACATGGTAAAACCAAAGTCCCATAGCTAGTAAAGAATGGCTGCTTGGCTATATGAATCTCCTTATGTTTCCCAGTCTGAAACTGATATGTTTTTCTCCATGCTTGTAAATGTTAAACAACCATCCATTATTTATTGGTTTATAAAGTCTGAATCAAGTTGAGAATGCTCTACAGAATTGGGTTTAAACAATCATCCAAAATTCATATCTTCTGATTTTATTTGTCTTTTCCTGCTTGTCTTTTAATGTGCATTATGAAGAAAACCCATCTACATTTACCAACTGAATTCCTATTTTTAGTACAGAAAGGAAACCACAAACTTTGTAATTTTATTAATACTAATTTGTTAATCGAAACATTCATTTTATATTCCCTACCCAAAAGAGAAAGTAAACTGTGAAACATGTGCATTCTTATATACAGAAATCACAGAGTTATATGTGCACTCATAGGCACAAAAACACTCTTGCAGCAACTAGTCTTACTTTGAAGTTTGAAATTGTTGACAGGGTGCTTCAATACCTCAGTGTGCAAATGGGACAAACCTTTTGATACCCCTTCCAGGACCAATTAATGCAGAGGACATGGCTATCACTGGAGCTGGTGCACGTCTTCATTCTCAAGATACAACCACCCTTCCATTATTGTATGAGTTTGAAGAACTAGAGGGAGAATTGGATTTCCTTACTCGCATAGTGGCAATTACATTTTATCCTGCTGTTTCTGGAAGAAGTCCTATGACATTTGGCGAGGTAAATACCAGTTTCCACAGAAATGTTACTGAAAGCTTCCTATACCATTTGTCTTTCTTTTTGATATCAAAATTAGTTTCACGGTCAATTGTGGTAAAGATTTTTGTAGTGATTTGTTTCTTATTATTTTAAATGCGTCAACTTGAGCAGACAGACTATGAATACTGTTTATCAAGGAAATTTTGTGCAACCAAGAACTGCCGGCCAAAGAAAAGCCCTTAAATTGAGTGGCATTTTAACTATCCAAAGACTTACAAGATAAGAATAGAAGAGAATGAACTTGAGAGTGTGAAACAATATAAGAGTAGAAAGACTTACAAGAGAATTTTCCAGGAAAATACGATGACCAAATTGCTTTATCCACTCTTAGAAGCATCTCAAAAGAGCCCGAGAAAACAAGCAACAAAGAAAATTCCGTCATCTCTATGAGCAAAACACATTGGACACATTTGGCAAAGAAGAAAATTTATAAAGTAAGAAAAGAGATGAAAAACAAATTCTAACTGCAACAAATTAACCTAGTAACAAATACAACCTCTATCACCACCCTCTGTATTTTGTACACATCTGTAATTGTGTCTGTTTTTCATGATTTTCTACAATCATGGTTGAATGCTAAGGAGATTAGGGTGGTCGAGCATTATGCTTGTTTCTTCCTCTGACACGCTTGAGAAAATCAAAATGCTTTCATATAGCTTTCTCTCTTTATTTTGTTTCTTTAAAGTTATGGCAATTGGGTTCCTTTAATGCTTCTGGGTGATGATGCTATATTGCATTCTGTCACAGATAGAGATCCTCGGAGTTTCTCTTCCATGGAATGGTGTATTTAGCAATGAAGGCTCTGGTGCAAGAGTAGCTGAACTTGCCCAACAAAATCTGAAGGAAGCTAATCCATTCTTGTCTACTTCAAACAACAGCAACAATCCATTTTCTGGCAGTTCTTTATCTAATCAAGTTGTAACACCGCCAATGCAAAAAAGCACTTCTGATAACTGGCTTGATCTTTTGACTGGAGAGGATGCATTTTCTGAGCCTGTTTCTCATCCACTGGCACAAAATAATGTTCAGGGGGGAAGCGACTTGCTTGATTTCTTGGACCATGCTGTTGTTGAATATGGTGCTGGTGAAACTGATCATAAATTCTCTTCATTGCATGATGCAAGGCCTCCAGATAGTAGCGCTCAGAAGTATATAAGTTGTCTGAAGACCCTTGCAGGTGCCCAAATGGTATGGAGTCACTTTTCTCTCTGAGTTGCAGCATTGTTGCTTGCCTTTTATCCATGTAATTTTATTTTTATGTAATTCTTTAAATTTTGTTTCTCCAAAAAATTCCTTGGGTCTTCTTCTGGTGTCTAGGGATGCTGATATATTTACTTCTTCTGCATTTCTGTTGCTTTTTCTCGTTTTGGATTGATGGTCAAAAGTCTGTGGTGTTCATCCTATTTGTAATGTTGTTTGGTACCTCCCCTTGGTATTTCATCATGTTTTATCACAGATTGTGGGAAACCCACTCCAAAGCATTCGTGGATGTTATGTGTAACAGTGGCAACTCCTATACCTGATCACTTTCATAGCTGTAACTCTCCTTCTCAGGTGTTTTTGCACCAAAAAAAGGTGGGCCTTTCTAGTGGGGAGCTAGAAATGGGATCCTTTAAGAGGAGTAAAATGTGGGGGATCTGATAAAATGCATGAAGTAGTTCAAAAGCTCAAGCTATTACATGGCCAAGGTCAAGTGACCTGCTAAGACAACTACAATCTGTATTGATTTGGGATTCCTTAACAAGAAAAATCAAACGTGTTGAAGCAGGAAAGTTTGGTAGGTTTTTGATTAAGAAATTTAGGACATTTAGTGTTTTAGCATTCAATCTGAGGGTTGGTTGGATAGTTGGAAGAATAGTGAAGAGAGAGCAAAAGGTCTAATTTATCATGGGAGATAAATAGGGGGATGAAAGTCCTAGTGAAACATGCCTAAGATAACCAAGAACTAATGATGAACTCATGAGTAAGATAAATCTCCTTTTTTGTCAAAAAAAAAAAAAAAAAAAAAAAACTCATGAGTAAGATAATACCTCTTTTTGCAAAAAAAAAAAAAAAAAAAGGTGTCTGATAACTTAAAAAAAAAAAAAAAAAAAAAAAAAAAGGTGTCGTGATACCTTGTGGAGTGTGCATAGCTATAACAAAAGAATTTATAGAAATCCAAATGATGGAAGACAACTGCAACTTGGAATGCAATGCATCTGGAGTATACTGGGAGAACTCTGGTTGTGAATTTGAAAAGAAAATTATAATCCTTTTTGCAGTTAGAATGCATTTGGCATCACTTCTAGGGAATTCAAGGATGAAAAGCATCAGTAAGTAAGAGAGAACATGTGGAGCTGGTTGCAGCTGATAAGAGAAAAGAAAGTGGCTGATTCATGTTTCTATCAGGTCTACACAATTGACATGTATGTTCACAGAGCACATTTTTTATTGTGAGATGGAAAATATTTGAAAGAGTGCAAGTGGGTGTGCATTTTAACAGACTTTAGCTATTCTTGTTTATAGGCTATCTTTGTTCTATGCACTTTCCCTCCTTATTCATTATGGGTCTTGTTTGATGGATTGGAAACTTCATCTGATTATCAATAAACAGAAGTGTACTTTGTTTAGGTTGAGACTGTTGTCAGCTAATACCTACTGGAACTACATGAAATTACTTTACATTTGATGAAATTCTTGGAATACTCATTTAGTGTTGTGATTACGTACATGTCCTTTTTTTTCTTCTTTGTCATGCTTGAAATGTGATTCAGTTATTGTTTGTGTTGCATTTGGATGTAACGAACACTGAATAAGTTTTCAATATGTTAACCTGATAGAGTCGAAAGCTTCCTCAAACTAATTCAGTTAATTTTGCAGACGAGAAAATTTGACTTCATAAAAGCTATGAAACTTGAAATTGAAAGGCTCCGCTTGAATCTCTCTGCTGCAGAAAGGGATAGAGCTTTGTTATCCATTGGGATTGATCCTGCTACGATAAATCCAAATGCTTTAATTGATGAATCATACATGGGAAGATTGTGCAGAGTTGCAAACACCCTTGCTTTACTTGGACAAGCTTCGCTTGAGGACAAAATTAATGCTGCCATTGGTCTTGGGAATATCGATGACAGTGTGATAGATTTCTGGAATGTTGCTGGAATTGGGGATAGCTGTTCTGGTGGCATATGTGAGGTGCATGCTGAAACAAACACACACGCACATGAATCCTCTATGACATCCTCTATGGGAGCTTCACAATCTATCCTGCTATGTTCTGAATGTGAAAGAAAGGTCTGTAAAGTTTGTTGTGCCGGGACGGGAGCTCTGCTGCTTGTGAATGCCACCACAAGGGATGCAACAAATTACAATGGTCTGTCGAGTCAGGGCGGTTCAAGCCATGGTGGTCTAGTTGACAGTTGCACAAGTCGTTCAGCAGCACTGGATAGTGTTGTTTGTAAACGATGCTGCCGGGAGATTGTCCTTGATGCATTAATATTGGATTACGTGAGAGTCTTGATCAGTCAGAGAAGAAGAGACCGTGCAGACAGTGCTGCTTACAAAGCTTTGGATCAAGTTGTAGGGTCTCCCTTAAGGAGTGGTGTTCATGAAAAAGGTCAGCCTTCTGGTAGTCAAGCTGTTCAGATTCTACGACAATTGCTTTCTGGGGAAGAGTCGGTTGCAGAATTTCCATTGGCAAGCTTCTTACATTCGGTATGTTCTCCCCTTATAAAAAATTTATATTAATCATATCATTTTCTTCTCACTTTTGGACCATCACCAGGTAATATTGATGGATCTCTCATAATCAGCTGCCCTGATATTTATGATTTAATGGTCTCAAGTATCCATCTTTAGACCTTTACAGAGTTCTGTCTACTTTTACCTAGGGTCAATCTACTCTCTTTTCTTGCTTTTTCGTATCAGTCCAAGGGTTGGCTGAGGTAGCAACCCCATTTTTAACCTTGAATTGGTTTTGTACATTGATATTTCCCTTCCAAAACAGTTGTCAATTTTTTGTTTGATAAGATCACCAAAGATGGAATTACATAGAAGATTTTGCAACGAGCTTCTCTGCTTTCCCATAAATTCCTCACCAGTTACTGATGAACTCAGGTATGGTGAATATTGGGACTGAAGAAGTCTAGGTTTCAAAAATGGTAATATTTGTCAAACCTACAGTCGGGATGGACATGCATTTTATAACTGAGGTTGCCGTGTCCGTTCCCATCCTCCAAAAAGGGGCGGAAAAATAAAAAGATAAAAGTTCAAAAAAGGTCTACAAACTACACTCTTATTTGAGTGGAATTTTCAAAGGTGATAAAGTCCCCCCCCCCCCCCCCCCACCCCCCAACAAAAAAAAAGGGAACTTGACCCCCCCCCCCCCCCCCACAAAAAAAAAGGGCACTTGAAAGTAATCAAAATACCAAGGAAAAAAAATAATTATTGAAGAAGTTGTTCGTACCCTATCTTTTTATTTACCAGGTAAAAGTCACAGGACCTTCTGTTCTTTTATTGGATGAAATCTCACCTATCATATCTCCTTGATTTCCTGCTTAAAAATTGTCAATTGTCACCTAGTTGTGTTGGTGGAAGAAAATGAAAGCTAAAATTTCAATTTTGAGTAACTTGCTAAAGACTCAGAAGTATAATTCTTTGTTTAATATTTTAGTTTGCTTTTGATCTATTTCTTAAGTTGTTCTGAATTCTGATTGTTGTACTCAATGGTTTATCATTGTATTATTTGGATTAACATTTTTTGTACCAAAAATGAAAGGTAAAACGGGATTTCACTTGGATTTAACTTTCCTTGTGTTTAAATCATAATATGCAAGCAAAATTTAGTCCAAGTAAAACTCTGCTCTAACTTTCATTTTTGCTTATGTTTAAATCATAAAATGAGCCCACAAAAATGTGGGATGCTTGGTGCATCGGGTCACCCTTATTATTTTTCTTTAGATTCATAATGTACAACTTTTCTACATACGTTAAGAAAATCTCTCTTTGTTGAGCCTCTCTCCCATTTTAATTCCCCTCTTAAGACATGCATATAAAATGTACACTCATTTTGTTATGATGTGTATACCTGTCAAATTAATATTTTTTTTATCTAATGGACTGCATGTCATATATTTTTTACCTGTAAAAGAATAAGGAAAGTTGTAATAGTCTATAAAAATATGACACTTTAATGTTGGTTTAAACATGTTTCTGTATTCCCCCCTCCCACACACACGGAAAATGGAAAGAAACACATACAGAACCTCAAACCAAAATTCTGTTCCTGTCCCTGTCAACACCTAGCCTACCGTTAATGTATTGAAGGCATGCTTATTGGATCGGTTCAGTATTTGTACGAGAATGAACCATGTATATTCCTTTTACAAGATAAACAATATTGTTTCAAATACAGTACATTATATGTTGCTGTAGATTTTTTTCTTCGAAAGATTTTCTGTTTCATAATTTTATAGAAATTTGGAATTCTCACTTGGTGTTTAATAATTTGTTGTGTGATTGTAGGTTGAAACAGCACCAGATTCAGCTCCATTCTTCTCATTACTTGCTCCATTGAGTTCTGGGCCATGGAACTCATATTGGAAAGCTCCTCCAGCTACCAACTCTGTTGAATTTGTTATTGTTCTGGGTACCCTTTCTGATGTTAGTGGGGTTATCTTGCTTGTTAGTCCATGCGGATATTCTGCGGCTGATACTCCTACTGTACGTGCACTTGTCCCTTTGTGTGTTTCCTAGTTATTTATTAGATTTATATAGAAGTTAAATATTTCATATAATGATGCTATAGATTTTCCAACAGAAACAAAATGCTTGATATGGAAATATATTTTTATGCTTTTGTATCAAAAAATTTGGAGGTTTTAACCTTAACAGTAGCACTATGTCTCTGTTTGAAACTAATGATTCTCTTCAGCTGTTTGGCATGTCTTAAGCTCTTTAACAGTGCCAGTAGTTATAACCTGAGTTCCATTAAATGTGATACTTTGTCTATGCAACAAAAGCACAGTGGTGATATAATGTTCAAATCAAGTTATGGTCGATTGTTCTCTAAGATATTTCCTTCTTGGGTCTTGAATTCTCAATCAGTTGCCTGAAGACCACTATAGTTAAGTTGAGGTTCGCTTTCTAGACCAAGTGCAATAGGTTGCAATCTTGGAATGTTAGGTAATTAACAATTAATTTGCGATGTGTTGTAGTGAACTTATCGTGTCATTGCTGTGCTTATGTAATTCTGTGAGGGAAGATGCAAGACTAGGTGGCATTTTCTGTATTCTGCATTGTGCTTTTGATGAAGAAAAGTTATAAAATTTTTAATTCATCACATAAATTCTTACCAAGAAGTTTTTTTTTTTTTCCGATGTTGTCTATTCATTAGGAATATTTGTCGAATTAGAATTATTTAGCTTGAATACTTTCCTATTTTAATTAGGCCCATGGTCTCCTATTCTTCAATTAGTTTTAGTGCTCATATGAAGCCCCTTAGTATATACTTGTTATTATTTGTTTCTTTTCTTTTTTTTAATGCTTAGATCTGTATCAGCTGTGTGCCTTGGACTTTGCTAAGTTTAAGCTGCAGTATCCAAAATATATTCAAGTTCAGCAGCACATTCCATCACAGTTGCTACAGTATTTACCTATAGAAGTATTACATATCCATTTTTTGAAAACATTATTTTCACCTTTGATGAGTTCCCTTCTGTTGTTATTCTCAGGTTCAAATCTGGGCCAGCAATAGAATCGAGAAGGAAGAAAGGTCATGCATGGGAAAATGGGATGTTCAATCCTTAGCTCCGTCTTCCTCAGAAATATATGGACCAGAAAACTCAGGCAGAGAAAATAAAGTCCCTAGACATGTGAAATTTTCTTTCAGGAATCCTGTTAGATGTCGAATCATTTGGGTAACACTACGTCTTCAGCGACCTGGATCAAGTTCTGTTAATTTTGATCTTTTATCCCTAGAGGAAAACCCCTTTGCACAAGTAAATCGACGTGCCTCTTTCGGCGGGTCGGTTGAAAATGACCCATGTCTTCATGCTAGAAGAATTCTAGTAGTTGGAACTCCAGTGAGAAAAGAGATGGGCCTTTCATCACAAGATTCTGACCAGATGAATTTTAACGGCTGGTTGGAGCGGGCTCCACAGTTGGGTAGATTCAAGGTATAAAAATTGCTCTCTGCTCCAGTTACCATTCCATGGCCATTACCATAGATAATCTTCTTGATTTTCTTCCTTTTTTCTTTCAATTTCTCAGGTCCCAATTGAGGCTGAGAGACTACTGGATAGTGATCTTGTCTTGGAACAATATATGCCTCCTGCTTCCCCTTTGCTTGCTGGATTTCGTCTTGATGCTTTTGCGGCAATAAAGCCTCGAGTTACCCATTCTCCAGCCTCAAATGTAGATACATGGGATACTTCAGTAACCTTTTTAGAAGACAGAAATATCTCTCCTGCTGTGTTATACATACAAGTTTCAGCACTCCAGGTATGATCCAACACACCTGCTTTACTCTGTTAGTAAGCATTCAACAAAATGATTGACACCATGTTGGAAGTGCAAGTGATGTTAGGGCCTAATTTTGTGCAGTAGGACTTGCATGAGAGGAAAGGAACTGTGGTAACAGTTTCTCACTTCTATAACACATACAATAGACAAACTCATGGAGGGACAGTCTGCCATTCATAGTTGGCATACAGTATCATTCCGATAGACGTCCTCCTTCCTTGAACAACCAACTTTAGGCAACATTTTGTTGTGGAGAATAGTGTCTGTTTTCTAGAAAACTGATTTCACGAAAATCAGAAAATAGGCCCAGTGAATCAATAAGAATGAAAGATTGGGACTAGCGAAGCTTTCCCAGTGAGAGTTTGTTCAGCAGAATTTAAGATTGGAAATTAATTTTCCAAAATTCAGTTTCGCTTTGTCCCTTTAACACGTTTAATTATTTCCGTGACTGTAGAGTCAAGTTTGCAAATGTAATATACAGCGAATGAGTGTAATAATAACAAAAATTTTAGTATCTTATTAAATGTCACCAGTATGGTAGGAATCGGCCAAACTGGTAGAGGGAACTGGAAGAACCTTTGGGGCATGTTCTCTAGTTCAACCAAATAAATATAAAATGTCCTGTTTGAGGGATATATTGTAAGAAAATAGCAGTTGGTGACCTACATAAAAGAATTTGGGGGCATACCTTTTTTAGCTAAAATGGCTAGTTAATGCCTCCTTCACCCTCCTCTTTTTTACTCTTTCCCTCCTATTAATCATAGATTATGAAGCACGACCACTACAAATCTTGAATTTATCTCTCTGACACTTTTTAATATGACACAACACGGATATAATACACACTTCGTGTGCTATTTTTTCTTTTAAGAATAGCCATGTCCCTGTGCCCATGTACGTGATTTATAGATCATTGATGACAGTAGGTTCTTGGCTGGAGGTCATATTTTATCCAGTAATTCCGATTTATTGAAAACTACCACCTAAGTAAATGATTTTGCAGGAACCGCACAACATGGTGACCATTGGTGAATATCGGCTGCCGGAGGCTAAGGCTGGAACTGCAATGTACTTTGACTTTCCGAGACAGATACAAACCCGCAGAGTTACATTCAAGCTTATGGGGGATGTGACTGCATTCGTAGATGATCCGGCAGAACAGGATGATTCTGGTTTAAGATCTTTCCCTTTTGCATCAGGATTATCATTGTCAACTAGGATTAAATTATATTACTATGCCGATCCTTATGAACTTGGAAAATGGGCCAGCCTTTCTGCAATTTGATTATCATTTATGCACGAGTAGAAGGGTTTTGAGCATTGATGGTGATTTCTTGTGGTTGTCGGTGTCATTTATAATTTTTTTTTTTCCTTTTTTTTTTTTGTTGTATATTAGGAAAATGTTGTAGTGTATTCATTGGTGTAATAATATCAGTGGTGTTGGGAAATCATAATAACATCTCTTCTATCCAAGAGAAATTTTTGTGAAATGTCCTATTTTTTCGAGATTTCAATTTTCAACCTCATAATTCCTTTTAGTTTTTCCTTCCACCCCATTTTATTATGTAGTTACCAAGGGCCCTTTGGTGGTAGCTGATTGCTGTTAAAAATGTAATATGACCATTAAAAATATAATTGTTTTTATATATTATTATATAAATAAAAAATATTAATTAGAATTTTTAAATATTTAATAATGAATTGTCCTTTTAAATAAGGATGCAATAATTATAAAAATATTAATCGGAAAAAATGATATTAGTAATAATTATTTGTATAAAGTCACTAAGTTTAAATGTATTTAATATAAATTAGCGACCACATCGGACCAACTGATGTGAAAAAACTTCGAATAATCAACAGACTATTGGGTCTGAAATAAAATTTTCATCAATTAGTTGCACCAGACAACATCTAAACACTCAAAAGCAATGAATAGGAGGTGAATGGAATGATTGTTGTTATAAAAACTCTTCTTGACTATTCTTTTTCCTTTTTTTTTTTTAAAAAAAAAAAATTTTTTTAAAAAAACAAAAAGAGGAGCGCGTTATTTAAGAGCAGGTAGAAGGCAATAATTTTGTTTAAAAAAATGATAGATATAACCTCAAGGTTAGAAACTTTGATTTTTTTTTTTTTTTTTTTTTTTTTTTTTTTTTTTGGAAATAGACTATTACTATTAGTCCATTTAAAATAGTACCTATTCTTCTAACATCTAATGAACATGTCCATTTCCACTATTCATTTGATTTGAGCACATAAAAGTACTAACTTACATAAATTAGTAAGTAGATGGTAATTTTATTACATCTAATTCAACATATGCTTCGTCTAATTTCAAAATCATGAATTATTATTTTTAACGATGTAGAAAATTCATAAAATACAATTTAAAACTGTAAAATATATTATAAAATTTACAAACAGAAAAATATAAAAGGCAATACGGTCTTTGAAATTTTTAATTCTCTTCGACTATGAATTAAAACACTTTTTGTCGGTAAATGTTCAATGACTTTAGATATAATAATAATAATAATAATATAATAATAATAATAATAATAATTTTTTTATTATCACAAAGGATGAAATGAGATGATAAAATTCATTTTTTCATTATCTAGAGGTTCCGAAATCGAGCGTTAAGTATAGAGTTTCTTTAAACACTCGGAAAAAAGTTTTATCTCTTTCCAAGGTACTTTGCCCCTTTTACGGGCCTGTTCAAAATGAATCCGGATTAATCAGCCAATAACCTTCGGATATTGAATGGTTAAAATAAAAAAAATTATTACTATTATTATTAAATTTGGGATTTTCTTGAAAAAATATGGGATAATTTTTCTTAGGCCAGAGATTTATGTGTGCAATGTGAATTTTCATTTGATACTATTTTTGAGAAAGGCAATTTGCACTAATATGATTCTTTTGTGGTGAAAAATTAAATTAATGATTAATATGATGATTTCCCGTAAACTTGACAACTTATAATAAAAAACCAGACTACTCAAAGTAATAACGTAAATGCCATTACACGAAAACTAAATCAATAAAACCCTAGCTGCTACTCTGCGATTAGATCTCAGCCGTTGATCTTTAAGTAGCTTAGCTCACTTTAGGGTTTATATTTTGAGCTCCATTACAATTGCTTCTCTTCTCTTTAAGCAATAGCCGTCGCGGTCCTCTCCCTCTCTCTTTCTCTCTTCACTCGCAGATTGAGTTGCATCAATGGTGAGAAATAAAGCTTGACTCTGTACATCTCTTCATTTCTCCATATTTTTGCGTATTTAGTTTTTTTGTATTGCGCCGATTTGTTGTAAGTTTTTTGTTTCAAGAAACCTGAAATATTGGATACAGAAGCGTGTGTTTCTTTTCATTTTTGGTATTTCATCTGAAACTGAAATATTGATTTTGCATTTTTGGCATTTCATCTAGGGATTTTGCATTTTGTTTGCAGACATGAAATTGATGTATAACTTAGTGTGTGATGTTGTCACGAAGTTTTAAAGTGTTTAACAAATTATGGCTTTTAAGTTAACTTGTGTGGTCATGCATTGACGGTGAGTGTGCTTCAAGTTATGTCTTAGTAATTATTATTTGTGGAAAATATCTTGAAGTTCCAGTTTTTATATGGCATTTTTGCGGAAAAAGTGATATGCTGAAGTTAGGGTTTCTCGGTTTTGAATACCTTGAGGCAGATTGATGTGCATTGTAGTTGTTTTTCCATTTGGGTGGACTTAGTTATTTTTGTTTATTAAGTATTAGATGAGTTCTAAGCATCATTTTTCTAATTGTTACTGCAGGCCTTTGTCAAGGCTCAGAAGAGCAAGGCTTACTTTAAGCGGTTTCAGGTCAAGTTTAAGAGAAGAAGAGGTATTGCTTAGTTTGTATGTGCATCAAATTGTTCTCTTTATTTCATTTAGTTTCTTACCTGGTTTTTGTGTTCATTTGTATGAATCTGCAGCGGGAAAGACTGACTATAGAGCTAGGATTCGCCTGATCAATCAGGACAAGAACAAGTACAACACTCCTAAATATCGCTTTGTTGTGCGATTTGTATCCTATGATTTGTTTTAGTTTTGCATTAGGATGTTCATTTCCTTGTAATCATTCAATTTTGGTGTTTTTCTTCATTACCCATATTCTTTTTTTTTTGGTATGGTAAAAGCCTTGGTAACTGCTTGTGAGATATTGCTATATGTATTAATCCTTAACACCCTTTTAGTCCAACAAGGACATTGTTGCACAAATCGTATCAGCTAGTATTGCTGGCGATTTGGTCCTAGCTTCTGCCTATTCTCATGAGCTTCCTCATTATGGACTTGAAGTGGGTCTTACAAACTATGCAGCAGGTATCATATTTTTCGTACTTCCTTTTTTTCTTTTTCTCCCTTGTCTCATCTTGTTTTCTGAGATATTGATGTTATGCTTTAAATGGATCTGAAAATCTGAGCAGCTTATTGCACTGGACTTCTTTTGGCCCGTCGTACCTTGAAAATGCTTGAAATGGATGATGAATATCAGGGCAATGTGGAGGTATCTTCTCAATCAACTAAATTCTCTCTTTCCTCATATCTAAAAGATATATTTATTTATTTAGTTCCCTTACCTGCTGATGCTTGGAAAAAAATATGTTCAAGTTTTGAGGTTCTTACAGTAACTTCTATTATTAGGCCACTGGAGAAGACTTCTCAGTTGAACCAACAGACAACAGGAGGCCATTCCGTGCTTTACTTGATGTTGGACTTATCAGAACCACAACTGGAAACCGTGTCTTTGGTGCTCTCAAGGTATCTTGAAGATGGCTGTTGTATTTTCTGGCGAGCTTTTCCATAGAACATAATAAGGAATATTGCCTATTACTTCAATTTACTCTGCACGTATACTTCCCTTTCAGTTGTCCTTTTCCCTGTGGAAAGGACACTTTTCTAGTCTGTCCCTACATTTTCAACAGACAACAGGAGGCCATTCCGTGCTTTACTTGATGTTGGACTTATCAGAACCACAACTGGAAACCGTGTCTTTGGTGCTCTCAAGGTATCTTGAAGATGGCTGTTGTATTTTCTGGCGAGCTTTTCCATAGAACATAATAAGGAATATTGCCTATTACTTCAATTTACTCTGCACGTATACTTCCCTTTCAGTTGTCCTTTTCCCTGTGGAAAGGACACTTTTCTAGTCTGTCCCTACATTTTGTCAATTTTATGAATTATTTTTCTGAAGTATGATATAGTTTGTGAATTTTTGCTTAAGTTTTAACATTTGTTCATGAATTATTTGTTTGTTATTGTAACTAGCTGAACTAATCTCTTCGCTGGAGCTAATCAGTCATTGACTGCAGGGGGCTCTTGATGGTGGTTTAGATATACCACACAGTGATAAGAGGTTTGCTGGTTTTACTAAGGATAACAAGCAACTAGATGCTGAAGTTCACCGCAAGTATATTTATGGTGGTCATGTTGCTGCATATATGAAGGTAATGCACTCTGGCCAAAAAGTAGTTTTTTTTGCTCTTATGACCGTTCTTGGTGCCAGTGGAATTTCTGCAGTTGTGTGTGTATTGTGTATTGATTTGCTTGCTTTTTGTTCTTTCTGCAGACATTAATGGAGGATGAACCAGAGAAATACCAGACTCACTTCAGTGAATATGTCAAGAGGGGAATTGAGCCAGACAACTTGGAGGCATTATACAAGAAGGTTCATGCTGCAATTCGTGCTGATCCTACTCTGAAGAAAATAGAGAAGCAACCACCAAAGGAACACAAGAGGTTTTTTGCTTATTGGTTCACACATTTGGACGTTGACCTCTTTGTTTTTATAAATTATGAGTCCTTTTATTTTGTTATGTTAAAATAAACATTGGAATTTGACTTGATGCTGTCTGCTCTGTTGGGAAATGTTACAAGATGCATTAGTTGTTGGCTCCATTTAGCATTTAATGTTAGGTTCTTATTGTTTTATTTTTAGATTGTCTTTAGCATTCTTGCTCCAACTATGATGATAATATTTATTTTCAATTTTAGACTTATCACTTGGAACCAAAGCCATTGAAATTACTTGATTGTGAATTTCATTTCGAGGAAAACAATGTAATCTTTTCATAATTTTAACAAGCAATGTAGTTCCTTTGCTGCATCACATGTTTTAATTTGTTTCAACTAGTTTCAGTTTGTGAGATGAGTTGAAATTATCAATATGAGAAATTATTTCATTGTAAGCTATTCATTTCCTTGATAGGATTTCTCTCCTGATAGCGATTTGAATATATTTTGTTTAGTTCATTGTGCTTGCAGCTTTTACTATTTCAAGGACAGGTTGATTTACTGCATTAGTCCAGCTACTTGTGTTATTTTTTGTAGAGTTGGGTTGCTGATCTTTTGATTCACATCTTATTGTCTGTTTCACAGGTACAATTTGAGGAAGTTGACGTATGAGGAAAGGAAAGCCAAGTTGATCGAACGATTGCAAGCTCTCAATTCTGCTGCTGATGAAGACGATGATGATGAGTAAACATACTAGATCAGCAATTGAGCTTAAATATGTCAAAATTTTTCCTAGTACACATGCTACTTAAAAGTCCTATTTGGGAACCAAGTTTTTTGAAGTTATTTTTGTTTATTGCTTCGTGCATTTTAGCTGTGTGAACTATATTACCTTTTTGATGACAAGACTTTGGATATTTAGCCTGGTATGAAATGCAATTTCAGTTTTGACATGATAACGCATTTGCTATTAATCCTTGTCCAGCCTCTTTTTTCGTATTATTCATTAGTTCATATGGTTGGCCTTATTATTCAGAGTATCATTTAATTATTTTGTTTTAGTAGCTGTGAAAAATGATGTGATTGGAGCAACGACAACAACTATTTGATGCGTTATACTCCATTGTTGTATCCCCAAGATTATTTGCTTTAAAGCCTGGTTACATCTTTACTAATGAAGCCATTTGCAGTTTGTTTCATCGCAAATCAGTTCTTTTGAAAAATAAAATTTCTTTTTTGGATTTGGTGAAATTCATTTGCAAATGAAATTTAGGCTTTGTTCTGCAACAGGCTTAGTATTTTGATTAAAGTTAAGAGATTGCATGCATTGATTATAGTTTGGTAGTATAATGTTTACGTAAATAACAATGAACTTTAACAAATAAGGCCTTTGTGGCAGTTTATGTTGTACTAGTTAGAGTATATTTGTAAATATTATCTATTAATTAATTATATAATAGAAAATATGAAATTTTAAATATAATTTTCATTTATATTAAATATGAAGAAATTAATTTGTAAGTGAATTGACATAATTGTACTATAACTAATTTTTATAGAACAAATTCCAATCTTAAAATGTTAATCTCCATGGTCAACTGGTATTTGTAATTCCATTCCAAAAGTCTATTATTGGCAAAATAATATATCCTCCCAGCACCAAAGAATAAAAATTGTAAAATAATGAATATTTTCCTTTATTTTTCTATTTTGAAACATTACGATGGAAGAGGCATATGCTTGTAATGTGCTTCTACTGATGCTTGGAAGTATATACACAGCCACACAGGTAATTGTAAAATTGCATCAAATTAGCAGCCAACAGAAAAAGGGTCCACAACAATTAACACCTTATCTCTACCCAACCAATGGATTTCCTCTCTCCCTTCTATGTAAACCTCAAAACACTATCCACTTATACTTTGCACATTCCACATCACAATTTTGACTTGATAAAATTATGTCATCCCTTTCATTTCTCTCAATTCAAACAAAATCCTACTTAGGGGCAAACAGTCATGGTCCGTTCTCTAACCATAGCACCTTCACCTACATCTACTGCAACCCCTCTTTCAAAGAACACATCTAATAGTAATGTCCCATTTCTAGGGTTTCAGAGAGTATGTGCTTCCCATAGAAAATCTATTTCTAAGCCAGTTTCTGATGCCAATCTTGTTCATCGGAGGTTAGTGTGTTTTTGTTTCTCTCTCTCCCTGTATATCTAGTTACTTCTTAAGACTTCAATGGAGGTCCATTTCATAATCTATTTAGCTAGTGGAATGTTGATACAGAGGTTGTAAGTTAACAAATAGTGCAAAATTAGGTGGATTGGTGGATGATTTTAGGTTTAAATCGAACAATTTTTATATAAAAAGGTTTCAATCATTGTATAGATTGAAATTTAAAATGTTGCTAAAAATAATCGAGTGTCTGTCTTATAATATAAAAGATTAAAAGATTTAAATTTCGATAATCTCTATCTCCTTTAAATATTTTTCCATATATAAATAAAAATTGTGATTCTAGCTTAAGTTGCATTGTTTATTTATTTATTTAGGAATTTATGAATTGAGGATTCTTATTTTCCTTAGAATTCACTCATAAATAAGAGCTCTCTAACTAGTATATGGACATGTAGCTGATTACAAAATGAACTTTATGGTGGTCCAGGAGTGTGAGCTTGGGTTTGGCGGGTGCCTGGTTGGGCTTGAACATCGGTGACCGGAGTGCAAATGCAGCTAGAAGGCCGCCACCTCCACCATCGGAGGAGAAGAAAGACCCTAATTTAAGTGGTGTACAAGCAAAAGTCCTAGCAAGCAAGAAGAGGAAGGAGGCTATGAAAGAATCCATAGCCAAACTAAGAGAGAAAGGAAAGACCATAAATGAACAATCTAAGCCCACAAGTAGTTCTATTGAACCATCTGAATAGTAACCCACCTTGTAATTTGTATTTGTTCAACATTTTTCTTGAGTGGAAGAGAAATTTGTATTCCAAATTACAAATACTTTCATCATTTTTTGAAATTATGATGTGTTCTATCGAACGAAATAACTATTTTTTACGATATTTAAAATCCATCTTATTATTTCCATATTTCTTTCTCTTAATATTTAAAATCACTTTTTACGATATTTAAAAAAGTGACGATACAAATAAGGTAGTTGTTTAATTTATTTAATTGCTTATTTGAGGAATTGAAGGTTTCGAATTCGAATTCTCTCGAACAAACTTGTTTAAAAGGACTAATTGTTTCACTTTATAGAACTTATTTAAAAATTTTACCTATTTTATTATAAATTAATTCAATTATTTTCAAATACATAAAATTAAATTTACAAAATTCAACTGATTTTCATTTCAAATACAAAAAGTTATATTTATAAATAAATTCCACGAAGTTTTATTAAATTCATTTTATTTAAACAACAACCAACTATGGCCTGAAACTGTGCATGGAATTGATAAATAAATAAATAAAAATTTAGATACGAATTATACAATTATATATATATACTCAAATGGAAACCAAATTCAGTGTTCAAAGAACAGTGAATTGACAGTTTAACCATCCTCTCTATTGCTATTCCATCTTTGTCTTTTAGCTTTTCATTAGTGATTTTCATTGTTCATGCACTCCTATATATGGCTATTGCAGTTTCTTCATTCTTTTAACACGTATAAAATTCTATTTTAGTTGAACACGTGTAGATATATTATGATTTACTATGTTTTTCCCAATTTTTTCTTTTATGTTCAGGACATTCCTAATAACATCAATTTTGAAAATTAAATTGGTTTATTATCTTTAATTTTTATCACATATGTTTATGGTATTATATTTTATTTTACCATAGATTAGCATTAAAAAGTTTATGTTTTAAGTGAAGCATTTTAATAATTTTGCCTTTAAAATCTTTTCTTTTGCTATACTTTCTAAAGTTTTCACTTCCTACATACTATAATTTATTGATAATTTATTTAAAATTTATTTATAAAGATTCAATGACAAAAAGAATCATTTAAATAAGTGAATGTCCAATCGTTTTTTTCTTTTTTTTTTTAATTATTTTTTAATTTAATTTATGTTTCTTAAACTTAAATATGTAAAAATAAATAAGTACAAATTTCAACTCTGTAAAAAAATATAATTTGAACTATTGATTGCATATTTATCAACTAGATTATTACTTCAAATTAACTTTTTTTTTTTTAATAAAGTTATCATATAAACAACCTTTTTAATAAATAAGTTGTTTTAATATTTAGTTTTGTCCATTTGGAATTATTGTATTAATGCGATTAAAATTTTTACTTTTTTTATATATATCGAAGGAATTCAAATATAAATTTATGACTAAACTTATTTTATGCGTATGTAATTATAATTTATGATATTTATTTTAGAAACTATTCAATTCAGTTAATATTCAATTATTTTCTTCTATAGTCTCTAAATATAAAATTTACTAATGACTATTAATTAAAATCTTTAAATTATCATTCTATTATGTTTAAAAATATACTATAATAACTAATAGCAATTAAAAAAAAATTCATTTTAATACTCTTAAATTTTTATTGTTTACCACTAAATTTTTTGAATTGCGTTTTAATCTGAACAGCTTTGAACAATGAAACTGAAACTAATAAGAAAAATATGATAGATAATATTTATTTTATTTAAAAAATTTTGCTTAAATAGACATCTTCGTTGCGGGTATAATATGAACTTTTTAATTTATTAAATTAAAAGCCCTCAACATGTGCATTGAGTTGAAACAGGGAGTGACATTCTTACCTTCCATTCTCATTTCACCCAACAAACAAACGCAAAAAATGATGCCTCAGAGCTCCATTTTATCCGGCGAGTCGCAGCTCTTCCAGACCTTGAATGGCCTTCAACACCTCGCCGAAACTCGTCGTTTCAAGGTTTCTCCACACTCTGCTCTGTTTCAGTTCACTTGTTATTAATTTCATCCGAAATAGTATCGGGTTTACCATTGCAGGCATGGTTGCTAGATCAATTTGGAGTCCTTCATGATGGGAAACAACCTTATCCGGGCGCAATTTCAACTTGTATGTAAAATCAGTTAGCTTTTGGTATTTTAGTAAGATTTTCTTTAAGCTTATTTTGTTGCTTTTTTTTTTTTTTTTGGTACATTGACTTCATGATGGGAAACAACCTTTCCGGGCGCAAATTTCAACTTGTATGTAAAATCAGTTAGCTTTTGTATTTTAGTAAGATTTTCTTAAAGCTTATTTTGTTGCTTTTTTTTTTTTTTTGGTAGCAGTGAGAGTGAATGAGAGGAAACCCATTTTCTATTTTTTTTTTTTTTTTTTGGTACAGTGAGAGTGATGAGAGGAACCATTTTCTATTCTCTGTTTGGATGACAGTAAAAAAGCTTGCAACTAGTGGTGCTAAAATGGTGATTATAAGTAACTCTTCACGGCGTGCCTCGACAACAATGGAGAAGATTAAGAGTCTTGGATTTGATCCTTCTCTTTTTGTTGGAGCCATAACCAGTGGAGAATTAACGCATCAATACTTGCAGAGGTAGGTCAAAAGCTGATCTGTAATGTATATTCTTTTATGTCCTTTTTCTACTGGATGAAGGAAGTCTAGTTAGAATTTGTTATTTAATTTTAAGTGATTACATTTTGTGAAACTAAGAAAGTGCAAAAGAATTTAATTCCAGTGGACATCTTATTGCTTCGGTTTAATAATGTCTTTACATTGGAATTTTTTGCAATACATTATTGAATCAGCTTAGGCATTGCATAATCCATGGCCATGCACAAATAGCTCATTTTTGAGCGTTCCAGGTTCCATTTTGTGGGTTTTTTTTTGCATAATCCTGTATATGGATATAACGATGCCAAATGCAAGCTGACAAGCATTTGGGGTTTGTTTTCTAAAATTTTTTGCATTTAGCTGCCTTGGGTTGTTTGCTACTTCTCTGCTCATAGTCATAACCTTATGCATTTACTTGCCTTTCCAAAGTACGTATCTTTTTCTTTATTTATGCATAGTAGATTTGCTTTTGTGATCTTTAATTACATGTATGCAAGTTATATGAGGCCTTTCCATCATGCTTCTTGTCAATGTTTCACTTATTATTTTTTTTCTGTGTGCTCCTGGAAAAAAATGTCTTCTCGGACCATTTTTGGCCATTTCAATCTGCGTGGTCATGCCACTGGGGTCTAGATATCAGCAACTGTGTTTTCTTACCTTGAATGGAAGTAGCAATTATTTATTTTGGAAATATTTCTTCTTCCTTTCAGCTTACTTTTCTCTGAATTTCTAATGTTTCATATGGCAATTTTCTTAAAAGAGTCAATTAACTCTTAATTTCATCAACAGTTCTAATGGATATCTTAAAATGGTTTTCTGGATTTTGTTATAAATAGGAGAAACGATGATTGGTTTGCAGCATTAGGGAAATCTTGCATTCATATGACCTGGAGCGACCGTGGTGCCATATCGCTGGAGGTACACCATTTGATTGGTTGCTCATAGACTATTTATCTGTCTTTTAATTTCTTCTGCTAGATACCTGTTTGAGAAGCGCAGATTCTCTCTTCATATCTCTTCCTTCTTCCTTGTCCCTTTCTTTATGTTGTAAAGATAGAAAGCCTGTCATGGCAATGGAAAAGTTGGAGAAATGTTGCTTTTAAAAAACTGGTTGGTTAAAATCATCATTTTCTGATTAGGTGTCATTTCAAGCCATTCATTTTCACAATGACGTGAGGCTTGAATCTACTGGTCCCTGAGAACTCTTGATGCATTAATTGTGAAGCTCTCCTGTTTTTATTGAAGGAACTGAGGAGCACTCTCCACGAGATCACAGTGGAACCTATTTTCTTGCTATTTTTCAATTAAACCATGCTGAATTTCAGCAAGTTGGCTTTTCCTGAGTTTTGAATAGATTTTTTAGAACAGATCCGTGTTCAATATGAAATAATTTGCATTGAACCTATTGAAGAATGCATTTATTCTGCTAATTTACTCTGTTGCTGATACTGAATGATAAATTAATAATGTTTCAAGTTCATTAAAGCATGTTTTAAGGGAGTTATGACAGCTTCTGTTAATAATCTTGCTGATGTTTTTTTCCTAGTAGGGCCTAGGTTTACAAATTGTGGAAAATGTTGAAGAAGCTGAGTTCATTTTGGCCCATGGCACTGAAGCCTTGGGGCAGCCTTCTGGTGCTGCTTGTCCTATGACTCTTGAGGAGCTCGAGAAAATACTGGAGCGTTGTGCTGCTAAAAAAATTCCTATGGTCGTAGCCAATCCAGATTTTGTGACAGTTGAAGCTAGATCCTTGCGGGTTATGCCTGGTAAAAATTTTCTCACTTTATTCTCTTGATTTCTTAACCTGAAGTTTATGTGAATGAAACATTTGGTTCCATGTAAGGATTCCATACAAACAATTTTGTACACGATTGGTGACAGTGTTGGCAGCATATATGGCTGCTTCTTTTTAGTATGCTTAAAGTTAAGTCTAGCTCTCTAGTTCAATCCACGGAAATAGTTTACTTGTAATGAGAGGGAAGGTTGTGTACCTTTGACCCTCGTCAAGCCTGCACTACGGTTACTTGTTGCAATGATGTTGATGGTTTTGAGACATGAAGACTAATAGCTAGCATTTCCAAATGAAAGACTTAGGATAATTGTAATACTTTCTAAAAGTTTAATGGCAAACCTAAAGAGGGACATTATTTGTCATAAAGGGAGTAATTTGGTGATCTTCTTGATGATGAATTCTTTCTTTTTTTTTTTTTTTTTTTTTTTTCTTGATGATGAATTCCTTTCTTTTTTTTTTTTTTTTTTTTTTTTTTTGGGGGGGGGGGGGGGTGGCGGCTTTGGGTAGCAAAATCAAATTAAAATATTTTAGTGATCTTCTCATTGAGAAAGTATTCTGAATGCTAATCCAGTTGTTACTTCAATGGCTCTAAAAGTTAAGTTCAGTTGAGGTGAAAGCTGGGAATTTACAAATAATGAGAGTTGTAGAAGATTTGTGGAAATGTTGATTTACTTGATTGTACTTGGGAATATTACTTCTGCTGTTGGATTTGATTCCTGGGTTTATGTTGACAGCAATTCAATCACATCAAGATGTTATTTGTTGTAATATGGGACCTAAGGATTGTTGCTTATAGTTTTTTTCTTATTAATCACATTTATACAAGTTGTTTGCAAACCATTTATCCCCACTGTGTAAGCATGCATCCTCAGTTGTGAAAACTTTAATTTTGAAATCAATAGATAACTCCAACCACCAATAAAAGGAATCAAAAAAAAAGAAAAAAAAAAAATGAGCCCTTTCATACTCTCTCTATCACAACATGGCAGATCTGCCACCTGCCATCTCCTCACTCTACAAAATGGTAGCAACATAGATTCATGATTCAAGACATTTTTGCAGCAACCTTACTTTTATTCTCTATTAGAATTTCCAATTTTTCCTCTGTTGCTTGATCAAACTGATATATAACCATATAGAGGAAGAGATAGGTAAAGAATTATATTTTCAATTTTTTTTTTTTTTTTTTTTTTTTTTTTTTTTTTTTTTTTTTTTTTTTTTTTTTTTTTTTTCATATGTAACTCACAAGGTTTGTTGGCATCATTTGGCATATTTTGGTTGCGGAACTTGAAATGATATTATTCAATCTTTTTAAAAAAAATGCGAAGCAGGAAGGACAAACAGATGGAACCCAGATCCACAGCTAAATATTTGGTTTGAATGTCATTTGGCTTCAATTTTTTTTTTTTTTTTTTTTTTTTTTTTTTTTTTTTTTTTCATATGTAACTCCACAATGTTTGTTGGCATCATTTGGCATATTTTGTTGGCGGAACTTGAAATGTATTTCAATCTTAAAAAAAATGCGGAAGCAGGAAGGACAAACAATGGAACAGATCCACAGCTAAATATTTGGTTTGATGTCATTTGGCTTCAATGAACCCTAGCTTTCGTTTTACTCTAGTTCTTTAGAAAATACTATGTTTGGCATGGTTTAAAGGTCTTTCCATACCTAATCAGACCTAGATGCATCTTAATAGTTCAGATAACTCATGATGTGCTATGTGCGTGTGTGGGATCTTAGATTCCTAGATCATGTGGTCTTTCATAAAAAAGTGTAAAAGGTTTGTATCTGCTAATGAAGCAGAAACATTATTTCTGCAAAAAAAAAATCATAGTTTATTCATTTTTCCTGTGACATATAATCATAACAAAACAAACTATGATATGTTTTATTGAGTTTAATCAATTCAGAAATGTTTTTATTGGACTTCAATTGTTTTTCAAATCTATATTGTAGTCTGAGAGGGATTATTATGACAATTATGTATAATTAAAAGAGTACTCCTTCATTTGACCAGTCTTGCAAGGGCAAAATAGTGAAGGCCCTGGTAAGATGTTTTATTTTGCGGTCATCAGGTGTATTTTGGTGGAGAGTGGGGACAGAATGAAAGATTTTTTAAGGATCAAAGACAGTTCTTTATGTGCAGTTATTTTTGTAAAAGGATAGTGCTTTTGCTTCTTTATAGTGCTTTATATTTGGTGTCTTGGAAGAGTTGCTTTAGCTGATCTTCAGCAGGATCAATGACAGTCTTGCTGTTCACCATTTTGTGTGAAGTGGGTGCTGTCAAGAATTGGGCCTGCATGATTAGATCTTGGAAGTTCAAAATTTCATAATTTCTTAATTTTAGCCCTTATCTTAAAAGTAACACAAACTTCTTTCAGTTTTTGTGTTGGCTTTCATATCTCTGTTGATTTGTATTTATTGAAACCAAACTCAAACCTATATGGTTGTGGTTGCAAATCCAATATTATTGTGGTTAACTTTCCTGTGATGCGAGCTGCAATATTCTTTTTAGGTACATTGGCTGCAAAATATGAGAAGCTTGGTGGCGAAGTGAAATGGATGGGCAAGCCAGACAAGGTGATAAATAATTTATTTTCTTGTTTTCTCCCTCTTTTTAGTGAACTTGATACCCATGTCTTTGCTTTTAACTTAGAAATATAAAGTAAACTATGTTGCTATGAGCCGGAGAATTTCTATTTCTTTCCCATATGACACAATGGTTTTTTAGATTGTTTTTAACTTTTTGAGAACATAAATTGCTACCAATACATGACTATAATTGGCCTGGAAGCCTGCAGTCGTTCTTGCGGTTATAACACACTAATTCTGATCACTTTTTACTTCAGTGTTAAATATTCATTTGGCAAGATAATTTATGAATTAGCTGTGGCTTATAAAAAAGAAAACATTCTGCTAGAAACAAAATTAAATTTAGAGATTTATCTTTTGGTCCTGCTTTCAATTAGAAGATTTAGCTTGTATAAATCAATATTGGGTTATATATATATTAATAATGGTGTATTTTTCTATCCGATTGCATATCTGATCTAGAATATGAAAACAAGGAGATGGCATTGTTGTTCTTTTCACTTCCTATTCAATTCTGGGCAGATAATTTATGAATCGGCTATAGCGATGGCTGGCATAGATGCATCAGACTCTATCGCTGTGGGTGATTCCCTTCACCATGACATTAAAGGTGCAAATGCAGCTGGAATCCAATCAGCCTTTATAACAGGAGGGATTCATGCTACTGAACTTGGACTTAGCAGTTTCGGAGAGGTGGCAGATTTATCTTCTGTACAAGCCCTTGCATCCAAATATGATGCATATCCATCATACGTCTTACCAGCATTTACATGGTAGGAACTATTGTTCACTAGTGAATTTATCTGACAAAATTTAATTTAATTTAATTTTTTTTTATGTGTTGAGCTTATGTTAATCCAATTATTACAAGATAAGTTCCGATTACTACTTTGATAACCACAGCAAAATGGTGGATCTGATTTTTAAAATAAAAGGCAATTACAGGAACAATAGATTATGTGCTATTAACTTAAATTCTATGTAAATTTCAGTTTCTACTTTATTGTCCCAACTGGGGCTCTGCTTGGTTCAATTTTGAAATGAATAGATAAATTCAAAAACATCTTATTTGAAGTTATTTCTCAAATATATAAATAGAATTTGTTGGTTGTTTTAAAAATATATTTATTTCAACATATTTTACTCAAATTTGGTGTCATTACAGAGAACTAAACTAGCAGAAAACATGTTAATAAATAGCAATCAATGACAACCTTTTTCTATTCTTATTCGTTTTCAAAACCAGGTGTCCAAAACATTATTAGACTTAGGTCTTAATGATTAAACAATATAATTTGTGTAACGTAATTTCAAATTGATCACAGAATTTTCCAATAAAATATCTCCTATTATTTTGGAAAACGCTATGACTATATAAAATAGAACGCTAATGTAAGAGAAGTCACAAATATGAATTAAAAATCAGATAATGAGATAATAATAATACTTATAGTCTAAATTGCTTAAAAGGGAAACATAGGATGTTGAGAATTTAGTAGTCCACAATCATCATCTTCAGGTATTTTGCCGTTGAGGAGGTAAAGGTTAGAGATATGAACTTTCGAAAATTGAAAATACAACAAGATTCTTACAAAAAATTTAAATTTCTAATTAGGGATTTTAACCCCAAAAAACCTCTATCTGGATTAAAATTTCCCCTTTTCCAGTCGGTTTTTCATTGAGTATGCCATTACTCTTTTGCCCTTTTCATTTTAATATGTTTACATTTGCACATGAAAAAGAGTAACTTAGAAGAAACGTTTTTTGGAAAAAAATTTCTGTGGAAAATAGAAAAACAGAGGATATGTTCATTTTATATAATTTTCTAAAATTAAAAATAGAAAACATGTTTGGGATGTTTTTCAAAAAAAAAAATTTATAGAAAATGCGTGTTTTCCAAATATTTAACCAATGAAAACACGATTTACTTAAAAAATAGACTCGTTTCCATCCCAACTAAAACCTATTTGATATTTATTTTTTTATTTTTTTTCTTCATTATATGAAAAAAATGAGACGAATAAATAATCTAATACAAGACGAACAAAATTAGAATATGAATAAATTTAGGGATAATTATTTATCCTAAGACCTTAGTTGTGAAACAATCTAATACAAGAACTGAGAAAACTCAAGCCAATACCAGGAGTACACAAGCAAGAAGCATGTAGATTTTTCATTAATTGAACTCTATAATTCATTAATTTTAATAATTAATCTTAAGTCTTGAATTAATTAAGATTTTAATTAAAAAGTTAATCAACCACTTACTAAATTAGGTGATGTGACATTCAATTTTTTTAATTAAAAATGAATGATTTTTTTTCAAATTATGACGTGGCATTCAAGGGTTAATTCCTTACCAAGATTATCAGTTTTTTGACCCGACCAATCTGGAATTCTCTTCTTCTTAAAATATTAGGACCCTTTGTCGCCGTTTTAAGTATTATTTTAACTTTTGTTAAAATTCTTATATTTATTATTTTAGAATATAAAAAATACTATTTTTTAGTTTTTTTAGTATTGTTCACGAGTAACAATTGCTCCCTCCGTTCTCTTACTTTAGCGAAAATTTTCATTTTGAATGTTTATTTTATATAGAAAATTTTATTTTAAATGAAAATTTTAGAAAGAATGTTAAAAGAAAAAGTCTATAATGCCTTTTAATAACCTATCTTACTGCTTTTATTTCATTTCAGTAAGCAAGAATAGTGACAAATAAAATGTTGATTGCGCAACTAATGAGCTTATGTTTTCAAAGCACGAGTAATTGCTACGTTTACAAGCAGTTCAATAGAAATATATTCAACTTTATGAATTTGAGTACGAATAAGAATATTGCAGTGGCCAAATTCCTTAACGTAGCCACACATTTTAATTGTTGTGCACTAATAATAAACAAGTCTTTATGGCAGAAAAATCTTTAGCGAAACAATGATGTGTGTCTGGGCCCTATTTTACACATGTGGACATACTATGTCTTTTTTTTTTTTTAAGTTTTCATAATACGGTCACAAATTTGTACCATTATACCTTTAAAAATTGTCTTTAAATCAACACTGCGCCTTACTAATATAGACACAAATTTTTGTCATAGCGAACAACCTCAATACCCTTCTTTGTGGACTTAGAATATGAAAAAGATGAGTTCATCATGTATGAAGATAACTTTCTGCTTAATAGTGCCCCATTTTAAAAAAAACGATGAACATCTAGAGAATTTAAATTGGAGAAGACCCTTGCAATCTTTGAAGATTTTGACTAATAAATACACTCTTGAAATACTAAAACGATAAATTGGTTTGCTCACCATTAATTATATATTTAAAGCTGATTAGGGGTATTATAGGCAAAAAAATGAATAAAATTTTTAATTTAACTAATTTCTTAATCTCAGAGCTTTTCTATTTTCTCTTTAAGTAATAAAACGGAGGGAGTAATTTTTTTAATTAAAGTCAAAACATATAGGGCACACACAAAATTCAAATACTATTTCTCAATCAGTTTACTTTAAATTGAGGTTTTTCAATAATTTCTTAAATTTTTCTGTAATTTCTTTTTAGTTTTTTGGGACTTGAACTTGACCTCCCATTTTTGTATTAGCAAGAAAAATAATCAGACGACACACCACAAAACTTTCGTATTACCTTTTAACCATATTTCAAATTCAACAACATTATATTTCTAATAATATAAATAAATAAAACATTGATTTTTTTCCCTTAATTATAAAAGTAAAACATTATATTTTTCTATTGTGCTAAAAAATACAAATTTCTTCTTTTTAATAATTATTTTCATTTTATTAACAAAAAAAATAAAAAAAAAAGAATATTAAAAAGAAACTTGGTTTCAGTGTCTCACGTGTTCCGTTTTCACTGACTTTACCCATTCATAGAAATCGAAAACACAAAATGCAAAAGGCAAAAACAAACAGAAAGACAACCAAAAAGGAGCACATATTACCACACAGCACCTTCAGATCTGTTGACCAAACCAATTTTGAGAAATGGACGGAGCTGGACCGGGACAGCCGGCCGACACTGAGATGGAAGAGGCGGCGGTGCCAGCACCTGCGCCGGCTGACCCGCAACAACACCATCAGCAGCAGCAGGTGTCTCCAACCGGTGGCGTGGAGAATATTCCGGCTACACTCAGCCATGGAGGGAGGTTCATACAGTACAACATATTCGGTAACATATTCGAAGTCACGGCAAAGTATAAGCCTCCTATCATGCCAATCGGCAAGGGCGCCTACGGCATTGTTTGGTACTCCCTGTGTCTTTCCTTTTCAACTGTGGATTTTGAATCTTTGTTCTCATTTTCTGAAGTGATTTTTGGGTTATTTGTTTGAATTGGATAGTGTTATTGATATTGTTTTGTTTTTGGATTCTTTGGTTTAGTTCGGCACTGAATTCAGAGACGGGTGAACATGTGGCAATAAAGAAGATAGCTAATGCTTTTGACAATAAAATCGATGCCAAGAGGACTTTGCGCGAGATCAAGTTGCTTAGGCATATGGATCATGAAAACGTCAGTGAGTGATTAATTACCGATTGTACATCGATTTTGGATTTTTTAATTGGAGTGAGGAATGTTAACTGTGCTGATTTTAGTAGCGGATTAAGTAAATTACCCAAATGTAGATAATTAGGATTGGTCTTCAAGTCACTAATTTCTCGTTTTAGAGTAATCAATACGCTTAATTTGGATGCCATCTAAAAGAAAATGAGCAGTCTTTCCAAGTGGGAAAAGTGTAAATGATTGGTATTGTCTTCTTAAGGTATTAATTTTGAGTAATGTTTATTGGACATGTATCTTGATTATGACATTGTGTTGTCTTTATTTAGCCAAAGAGGGAACAAAAACATTCTTTTTTAATTTGATATTTAAATCATGGAGTAATAAATATTTAGTGCTACACAAAAAGCAACCATTTTCATTTTTTGTACATTTTTCTTATTGGGTTGGAACACCTCCTGATCTACTATGAGAAATATGAAAAAAAAAAAGATGCTATTATTTTGATCGACTGAGAACAAACAAACCACTGACATTAATTTGGAAATCATATGGATATATATCGCAGAGTATGGTTTCTGTTTTTGTAGGGGATTTCACATGTCTTAGATTGGGTTACATCCAAAAAAAGCAAGAATTAGGTATTGGTTTTCCGGACTTTGTTTCGGCATTGAATTACATCTGCTTTCAAAATTATTCTTCTTTAACCCTCTCTTTCGACTTTTGTGGGTTGAGGCAAGATCCTTCCTTCACCTGCTTTTGAAAAAAAAAAAAAAAGCTATTTAATATTTTTCTGAGATTGATAAAAACTTCTTAGAGCAGACGGAGGTTTTCCAAAGTGGCTTTCATCATAATGTTAAATGCACTCTTGTTTTTAGTGGTCTTTCTTCTCATCAAAATACCATGTTCCTGTGTACTATTTTTTGGAGATACTGTTACTAGGCAATCAAAACTTTGCCACTAAAATGGAATTAGATATTTTGATAAAACTAGTTGAAATCGGGCTTGCAAGAGGATGGTGAAGGTAGTAATGAATAATCTGGATAAAGCTTTTGCAGGCCTATGTAGGACAATCTAAACTGTTATGACTTGTCAAATCCTGGTCTTTCAGGCAGTAAGTTTTTTATCATGATTTCGTGTCATTTTGTTGAAAAGTAAATGAAGCTTTCAACCTACCAGGAAAATGCTGCTGTTGTCATTTTGGAGTTTCTGGCTCCAAGAGCATTCTTAACAGTGTTGGTGAAAGCAATGAAATTGACGGCAGGATTCAGATCAAAGTCAGTGATGAATGCTTGTAGACATAATCACAAAACTAAATAATATGATGTTTGCATCAATGACTTCTTACTATGTAGAACAGATGTTATTGGGATGCTTTTATATAATTTTGAATCCTAAGGGCATGATCTTTAGACTTTTCCCTTTTTGTATGAACTTTACTTTCACTGCAATTTTGATTCAAGGAAATATCTTTGAAGAAAAAAGCGATTGTAGGTCTCTGTTGAGGTTTCTTTATATTGACATCTCCAGCACTTGTCTTGCAGGTTGTTGCAATCAGGGATATAATCCCCCCACCCCAAAGGGAATCATTTAATGATGTTTACATAGCATATGAGCTGATGGACACTGATCTGCACCAGATTATTCGTTCCAATCAAGCATTATCAGAGGAGCACTGCCAGGTTGACATTTTTATTCACTTGTTTAGACTATGGCACATTTTATCAAGTTTCACAGGCTTTGAAAATAAGATCAAATTTTTTAATATAAAATATGCATTCATTAAGTGATGAAGAGTACAAATATCAAGTGTAAGAGGAGTAACGAGGCATAGCAATGAAAAATAGTTATCGACTATATTCTTTGTTCTAACTATTTGGAATTGGCTCTGTGCTCCTTGCCTTAATTTGGCTCTATCTAATGCTGCCTATGGATTGTTGGCAGACCATTAGATCTTTACTCACCTGCTTATTTATGCCTTTTCCCACTAGCTTAGTGATAACTTTTTATCTTAAGCTGCATCACTTGTATCTTATGAATTATGATGAATATTTGTATAGTGATAATGGAAATCATTACTATGGAGTGTGTGCGTATGATTGAGAGGTCTAGACCGCTTTAAGGATGCATTGAGCCTTCAGTGATAATAGAATAGTATCAGCACTCTTTTTTGGTAGGAACCTCAGAATTAGAACAGATGTCAGAATCATGATAGAATGGTTGTGTTCTCTGTTATTATGTGTGTTGAAGGTGCTTAATAGCATGGGCTTTGGACTGAAGACGTCATGCAGAGAGTAGCAAGGATTTTATCTTTGTCATTAATCTTGTGATAATTATTTTCCTGACCGCCTTACTTCAATTCCATTATTTGTCTTGGACAGGATACTAATAGTGAAATGTTCTGGGTGTATGCAGTTTAAAATTTGCATTCTTTCAAATCAGATGGATTAATTGCCTTCCTGTTTAGTCTCCCCTCATGTATTTTGCTGCTGTTGGTTAATTGTGAGAGCCTGTTGGTTAATTGTGAGAGCACTTCTCCAATTACAGGTCCACTGGGTAATCTGTCTATGGACATGAAAGGGGGCTTTTATGGAGTTCATTATTGCACAGTTTATCCCTTGGGAGTCGTTTTTTTGTAAATTTATGAAATATATCAAGAATTTTTGGGACACCTTAATTAAGCATTTAAGGTTTTATTTTAAGATGGAACGTCAAAGTTATGAGGGAGAGTCTTGGTTAATGTGTTTCTGGGGTTGGGGTTGTGTAGCTGAGAATTGATGAGGTGAATGGTGATCATAGCTAATTAATTGATTGAGTGGGAAAAGTGTACCACGTTAAACTTATCGGTACAATGTTTGAATGCAAGTTGGAAAGTGGAAAAGTGCATGAACTACTCAGTTGCATTTCTCACATACAAGGATTTGGTAATGATAGATGGTGTGATGTGTACAACAAAAATAAATCCAAATCTTGGGTTTGCTCAAATGGTGTTTATCTGCCAATCAATAAGCCTGGCAGATGCTTAATTATTAACATCACTTCCTTTGTTCATTTTCTTAATTCTTATTTTTCTACTTTTTCTTGCCTTTTCGTGCTCTTTATCCTTCTAGATTATCAATATATGCATTTCTCTTCCCCATTCTTCAAATTCTTTCTTCTTAGGTTTTCCAGAAACTAGTTAGCCTAAAATGGACTAGTTTTTATGACAGGATCACTCAAACATTTGTGTATGGTCAATCTTTCTCCACAGATTGTTTTTCTGCATCACTTATGAAGTTGTGATTTTCCCCTCGTAAGCTCATTTTCACATTAGAGAGTCATCATTCAAGTGTTGGAACTCTTTATTGAAAAGCAATCTTGATCAAATTCGAAAAAAAATATAGTAGTACTAACTCTTCTTTCAAATAAACAATAGCATATTCTTAGCAACAAAAGACATAAAAGAAGTTGATAAGATACTTTCTCTATATGATACATAAAAGGATATTAATAGAGTGAAGCTCTCTATTCATGCTAGACAAGGGGGATGCTTCAAACTGCTCCTGAATTAAAAAACCAAATAAAGAAGTAATGAAAAGAATTTTGTTCCAAGAAAATGCAAAGTGAGCATTTATCTCAATTGAAATATGCTCAAGCCTTGAGAAGCTAGCTTAACACTTTCAACTTTTAGTCCACCTACAACAATGTCAGAGTAGCCTCTGTATAACAAGGACTACATCACTTTGCATTAGAAGACCATTAGTTATTAGTTGTAGTTCTAACTAGATGGTGAATCCAGAGCTTATTCTAAGCATTACTATATCAAAGTTCACACATTTGGTGATGTCTTGTCACTTGTCATTGAAATTGATGATTAAACAATCTAAATTGATCATCCTTCTTAGTCAAGTCTTTGTAAGCATTGGGGATATTTTTAGAGTATGGCTGGAATCTAGAAATAATTACGATTTATCATATGAGTTGGCTATTTGTGAGAATTAGACTACTTCTGATTTCTTGATGGATTATTTTGTTAGTAGAAGCGGCTTTGGCAAGTTCTACCCATGCAAACAATATGTGATCCTTGCTTCGGTCCGTAATTTTATATTTTATTAAAAAATTAACAACCAAGCTAATTCTTTTATTCTTTGTGCAGTATTTCCTGTATCAAATTCTCCGTGGATTGAAATACATACATTCTGCAAATGTTCTGCACAGAGATTTAAAACCAAGCAATCTTCTGCTGAATGCAAATTGTGATCTAAAGATATGTGATTTTGGTCTGGCTCGTGTGACCTCAGAAACTGATTTCATGACAGAATATGTTGTTACAAGATGGTATCGTGCACCAGAACTGCTATTGAACTCTTCAGATTACACTGCGGCTATTGACGTATGGTCAGTGGGTTGTATTTTCATGGAGTTGATGGATCGGAAGCCCCTATTTCCTGGCAGAGATCATGTGCATCAGCTTCATTTGCTTATGGAGGTAATTTAATTATTAATTTGTATTTATACCTTGTGATTTCTTTGGGAAGATTTAGGACCTTGCTACAATTTGCTTTATAGTTCTTTAATTCATTCTTTTCTCTTTAATGAAAGGGAGCATCTCCTTTTTTTATCAAAGGTTTATAAAAATTGGTACTTTGTTGCCATGACTGCAAAGCATGTGAATCTTCTATTAGTTTGTAATTCTTTAAATTAAGTTGGAATTATATTGTTATCTAACTCGGTCAAATGTTTGCATAATGAGTTAGCATCACATGTTGCATCTCCAACTGTCCAACATAAATATGAAATTTTGCCACTTCCATGTCTAATGTCAAGCAAGGAGGTTTTGCAATCTGAAATGTATTTATATTATATATTTTATAATCATTATAAACATTGCAGTTAATTGGCACTCCATCAGAGGCTGAGTTGGGGTTTTTGAATGAAAATGCAAAGAGATACATTCGGCAACTTCGTCTTTATCGTCGTCAATCTTTCACTGAGAAGTTTCCAACTATCCACCCTGCAGCTATTGATCTTGTTGAAAAGATGTTAACATTTGATCCTAGACAGAGGATTACAGGTGATTTTGTGCCCCTAATGTTCAACTTATGGCAATATAAGTTGATTTACTCATGCTGTTATTCTGTTATATCTTTTGGTTTCAGTCTCTGTTGATTGCTCAATTGATTAATGCATCCTTTAGGTGTTCTTTGCTTCACACAAACTTAGGTGATTAAATTTGTAGAACAAACAATAAACCACTTGATGTTGTAACAAAGATAGGAAAGAGGAAGAACGATAGGGAGAGAAACGAAAGGAGAATTAGAGAGAGCAGATATAAATGGAGAAGAGAGTAAAAAGATGATAGAAATCTAGCAAGACTCTCAAAAATCTACTCCAACATTAAAAAAAAAAAAAAAAAAAAAAGTGAGTCTTTTACGCTCAGTCTCAGAGACTGCTGATTGAATCCTTTAGCATCCTCGATTGCTGTTACAACTGGCTATGAACGTTGGTATGATACCACGGCATTTTCTACCCTTGTAGCTTCTGTGTGATTCCAGGCTAGCATTTGCGAGCTCACTCTCTCTCGTTCATGGTAGTCTGCATGGATCGGAAGCCCCTATTTCTGGCAGATAGATCCATTCGAGTGCATCACTGCCGATCTCTCATTTGTGGTATGGTAACGGATAATATAGTAAAAGGATTATTTAATTCTCGTTTGCTCATTATCTTATACCTTGGTGTGTGTGTCTTTGGGAAGGATTTAGGACCTCTTTTTGCTTACCAATTTGCTTTACTATAGTTCTGTAAATTCATTCTTTTTCTTCTTTAATGGGTGGACATGTGGAGGAAAAGCTGGCATCTCCTGTTGTGTTTACTCAAAGGTTTATAAAAATTCGGTACTTTGTTGCCCATGACTGCAAAGCATGTGAATCTTTATGAGTTTTGGTAATTCTTTAAATTAAGTTGGAACTTATATTGTTATCTAACTCGGTGTCAAAATGTTTGCCATTAAAATGAGGTTTTAGCATCACATGCTTGCCATTCTTCCAACTGCTCCAACATTAAATGATGACATTTTGCCACCTTCCATGTTCCTATGTCAAGCAGGAGGTTTCTGCCAATCTGAATGTATTTATATTATATATGTTTTATAATATTATAAATTATTGCGTAATTGGCACTCCATCAGAGGCTGAGTGTGGGTTTTTGAATGAAAATGCAAAGAGATACATTCGGCAACCTTGCGTCTTTATCGTCGTCAATCTTTCACTGAGAAGTTTTCCAACTATTTCCACCCTTCAGTATTGATTCTTCGTGAGAAGTGTTAACATTTGATCCTAGACAGAGATTACAGGTGATTTTTGTTCCCCTTTGAATGTTCAACTTATGGCAAAGTATAAGTTAGATTTACTCATTGCTCTTATTCTTTCATATCTGTATATGGGATTTACAAGTCATCTGTTTGTGCTTTTTGAGCTCTCTGCGCATACAGATATGATCTATTAATGTCGATCACCTTTTTACCTGGTGTCTGATCTATGTTGGATGGCTACCCTTCCACACAATTAGGTGATATTCTTAAATTGGCTTAGAACCAAACTGAATAAAACCATCTTTGATTGTAACCAAAGATAATGAGATTTAAAGAATACAGGACACAGAAAGAGTATTGTTAGAGACAACACCAAAAGGAAGAATTTTGAGTGAGAGTAGAGTGAATAAACCTGGAGAGGAGAGTCATATGAAGATGATTAGGCATAAATTCATAGTGCAATGAGACTCGGCAAAACAGTCTACTCCAACATCTTAAAAACCACAAAGAAAACCAAAAAAACAAAAGAAAAACAAATTCAGCATTTTTTCCTGCCTCATTTTATCATGTGGTCCCATGTAGCTTTAGGAACTATTATATCACAGAATTGCTCGAATCTTTTGGCCGTATCATATTACTTAGTATGAGGGTCAATCTCCTGAGAGCATTCATGCGCGCAACTTGGCGGGATTCAAGGTAACAAACTCAACTTCATAGAACAGCACCTTTTTCATATTCAGCGAATTGCCTGACCATAGTGCCCAGAAATACTTCCATGTTTGCTGGATAGTTGCTCACGAGAACTCCAAACACATGACAATTTATTTTGTCCCAGATTGGCCGCAAATTTTGTGTTACAGTGACTTCAATTATATATTTAAATTATACCGCTTTTCAGTATAGTTGCATTAATGACCCAATTTGGATTTCCTCTCCTAAGAAGAAGAACATTTCTTTTCAATGATTTGCTATTCTTAGTTCGTTATGCTTACTTTTCAGGTCTAAAAAAAAAAAAAAAAAAAAAAAGCATATGCCCATATATGTGCCCATGTAATTAACCTTAAAATTCAATCTCGACAATACTAATCCTGCTGAACATTCATGGCCCCAACTTGCTATTCAAGTACAAACTCAACTTTCAAAGCCTAGTCATATTAAATTCTTCCATGTTTGAGTAGTTCACGAACAGCATAATTATTTGCATGCCAAATTTTCATGATGCAATTTATATCGCTATTTAGTTGCATTATACAATTGATTTCCTCTCGACATCTATGATTTTATCTACTCTACTTGATAACTTGATCTTACTTCATTTTACTTTGTTATAGTTGAGGATGCGCTTGCTCATCCCTACCTAACATCACTTCATGACATCAGCGATGAGCCAGTCTGCATGACTCCCTTCAGCTTCGACTTTGAGCAGCATGCATTGACCGAAGAACAGATGAAGGAGCTGATTTATGGGGAGGCTCTTGCATTTAACCCTGAGTATCAGCACCAATGATAATAAGCGTTAATGATATCTATCCATTGTGAATCTTGATATCAGTGTGGTTTCTGTTACTTGCATGTTTTAGGTGATATTTATTTCTTCTTGTATATATGTTCCACCAAAACTGGGTGGTTCTTGATTGATATATTTATTATGGGCTGAACTCAGGGACAAAGAACAAAAGAAATGGTGTTTGTATCTGCTGTCTTGCTTATTGTGTGCTCCTTTAATGAATTTCTCTTTTATCTCTATCTCGCATGCCGAGCTGGCACGCGTGGACAATTATCGAGTATGGTGGGAGTAAAACGGAGTTAAACAATGGGATTATGCTCCTCTCCGCCCTCCAGCTTATAGTTTGGGAATAAGCCTGGCTATGGTCATAGGAAGACGCAGCTCTTTATGCCAATCCCACTTGGTACGATCATGTTATTTATGATTATAAAATTACTGTTTGGTAAGCTAAAAATGGAATGTAATATAATTAAATGTACTTCTTGTTGTACACTCAAAATGTATTTGATTACATCACATTTTGTTACAGCTTACCAAACAGATCCTCCAGGAAGTATTTAATGACTGTAATTTTTGTCAAAAGGTTAGCAAACCAGGCAATTCACTTATTAGCTGTTTGGTCCGTTTCAATAAAAATTCTTAATTTGTGTAACTTATTTCAAAAAATTGAAAAATGGCCTAACTATGGTCTGATTTAGATTAAAATCGACATGATAATTTCAATCTGGAACCAAACCAAAATTGAAAGGAACTAATTTAGATCCCAATCCCTCCCAAAAGGTGTTGGGATGAAAACCAACCCAAAATTAGCAGGTTAACCAACAATTCCAGTCCAATTCTGATCACAAATAATATTAAAAAAAAAAAAAAAAATCGAATTGAGACCGGATAGGAACAAATGGTTTTTTTGCCGTGATTGAGACCAATTGAAAACCGAATCGAAATGTAAGGATTCAATGCAGGTCCCTGTTCCGGTGTCCCTGAATCACCAGCCATCCCCATATGAAACTCAAATTTGAATTTTTTTTTTTTTCTTTTGAGATAAAAAAAAAATTCTTTCCTAGATAAAAGAAAAAGTTGGACATAATTATATGCAGTCCATTTTTCCTCTCCAAGTTCAATATAATTGTGAGGAAGAAATAATTATGGTCTTTAACCCTTTGTTTGGGAAGAAAAATATTAGAGGAAAAAAAAAAAAGAAGAAAATAATGAGAAATTGTTAATTTTCTTTATATAGTTATTTTTCACCCTTCTATTTGGATACAATGGAAAAAAGAAAATAAATTATTTGCTTTTGTTCGGAGGGTATAAAATTATGAAGGAAAGAAAATATTATTGTTCAAAATTACAATTATGTCCTCATTTACACAACAAGAGAAATAGTTAAAATTTATTAATTAATTAGAGCATTTGGATGATTTAATAAAAACGAGGGAATTTCAACTTTCCTTCATTATTTTCTTTTCAAATTGGAGAGATTCAAAACATTCAGACTCAAGTGAAAAATAAGTGATATTTTTTATCTTTTCCAAACGAGAAAAAATACAATTCCCTAAATATTTTCCATAATTACTTTCATTCCTTCAATAAAATACTCTCATCCAAACAGAGGTAAGAGATCTCATTATCAAATTTTCAATTTCTACAATTCAAATGAAAGATAAGATGATGAAATTATTGTCATTTCTACAAATCCAATTTCATCCAAGAGATACAAAACAGAACTGATTATCCTGTACTACATCCACTGAGCACAAAATGAGAAAATTGTTTCTTCTCTCTCCCACCAAACACAGCCTAATGCCCAAAAGGAACTGAAATGAAATAGATTTAGGAGGAAGAATATGGAAGCAAAATAATATCATTACAATCTCGGTGATTTTAATAATAATAATAATAACAATATTCGTGATGATGATGGATAAATCTACTCGCATTTGCTTAAAGCAAATTCGTTCTGGAAAAAAATTTGAGAAATGGCTGCCACTGATTTCCTTTTCTAGGAAGAGATTTGTATGAAGTATGTGGGAGAGGCCATTTTCAAACACCAAGTTAGCTCTTCATGCTCCCAAAGAATCTTGAAAGCGGCACAGGACCATCAGCCTCTTCATCCTCACTGCTGGAGCGCTTGGATTTCGATCTGTGCTTCTTTTCCTTCTTTGTTCTCTTTGATCTGGACTTCGACCTTCTTGATTCTCTCTCCTCGTCATCGCTACTTGAAGAATCAGAGGATGAACCTGACGAGCTATAATCTGAAGATCTTCGCCTTGAATGCTGCATCACATATGCAATTTGAATAAGTTTTCAAGTTTCTATGCATGCAAAACAGCAATAATAGCTGGGAGGGTGAATCTGAAAGCAACGACAACTCTGCTTGAAAAAAACAATCCAAATGACTGGACATTGGTGTCTAGGCTATATACAGAGAATGAAGATAAACTTTGATGCCCCTCTTCACAACAAACTCAACCTCGAATTTCAGGCCTAATATCATTCACACGAGCTATTTTATTCATGAATTGAGCATAAACCTAGAGACACCACAAATCAGATTTTAAAACAATAATCATAACACAACTGGATAGAAAGTGGAATAGGAAGCAAGCAAAACTGTTAGTAAGCATGCAATCTCGGAATGATTATACACAATCCAACCACCCAAATACCAGTGTTTTCCACCAGAAGTCTCTAGACTCTAGCCCTTGCTTGGCAAAACATCAATACTTCAATAAGCAGGGCACTTGACAGGGGACAAGATATTCGAGTTATTATTCCATAAGTACTGACATACAATTTCATGGGAAAATCTCAGCTGTAAATCAGTGAACAAGAAAAACAATAAGTCATACTACGTAGAATTTTAATTTGATTTTCAGGTGTCAGAGAATTCTTTGATAAAATGCCATCCAGACAATGCACAAGCTAAAGACAGTCAATGCACACTTCAACCTGAAACAGATTTTCATATATTTTTTGAAGTTGGATGCCCATACACACTGCATGTTAGGAATAAAATAGCCCAAATGGAAGTAAAGTGAGGTAGACTAACCAGTCATACCCCAGAGCTTCATAGAGAAACATGAGATCATGTAATTTTTATCTTCATTACAGGCAGCAATTGCTGATAAATATTTGAATTGCAATTACCCCAATTTTTATCTTATCACACACAAGGGCCAAAAATGCAGAGCACTTATTGTAAGGCATTATTCTTTTAACAACAGATGTGTGTTCTTAATTTCATAGGGATGGAAAATCTAGCCTAAAGAATACAGAATTGGTTTAACTATCAGTAAAAAAGAAATCAAGATGTCCAAGTTTAAGACCATAGTTTTCAATAACATATGACAAAAATACATTCTAAATGCAAATTTTAGATGGTGAAACTATTAGAAATTCAGGCACCTTTCTCTTCCTGCTGCTCCGTTTCTTTAAATCCTTGTCCTTTTTATCTGCAAAGACACGTTATTCAGAAGGGCAATAAAGATGCCAATGCACAACAGAATAATATTTTCATGTATCAAGGTTTTCACACACACCTTTTTTATGATTAGACTTACTACTTGAGTGGTTTCTTCCATGGGCAAGTTTTCGTGCCCTTTCAGCATCAAGTTGAGCTCTATATTCTCGCATCATTCTATCTGTATCAGCTTCCAGTTCTCCCTTTTTCATTTCATCTTCCTAATACAATCAAGCATAAAGAACAAATTTGAAAGTTGTGTATTATACCATGTGATAGTTATTTTCCCCCTATGAGAACACCACTTCCATAGCAGTATGGGAACTTAGTTGGCATATTTATGCAGCCACCATAAAGTTCAACTGAGAGATGTCCACAGCTTATATGGATAGTTAAATATGTTCAAACTACAGCTAGGTTAATCTTCTCATTAGTTGTCATTTTTTATTATTTTATTAATTTTCATAAAATTATCATCATTAATTTTGATTCCTTTCCTTCTCAAGAGAGTGTAACTTCAGAGTGTTCATGTTTTGCAAAGGCCTAATTCTAATGGAAATGCATTTTTTAATGATTGTTTTGTAATTCAGACAACTGCTGGATTGTTTGATGATGTGGCATAAATATGTTGAGTTGGCAAATGAGTGTTGAGCTGTCATTCATGCAATGCAATGAGATATAGGAATCGATGTAACAGAAATTGTATTGTATTGCATTTTGAGATCAACAGTAAAATTCTCTCTTCTCTCTCTCTGATTTTCTCGCTCTCAATTCTTCTCCTTCTCTGTTCCTTTACAATTTCTCTATTTAGCAACCTAACAATGGTGCTTGAGTAGTTCTATGCAAATCTCTTTTGGGAACTACTGTAATCGCATCTACCAATAGCATTTTCTAGATGTATGCCAGATTCTTCTTCCACCCATTTCTTTCTTACACTATCACAAAAATTTGTGATTTATTAAAGAACTCATCATCACCACTTGCAACCACATTGATGTGAATATACAGTCATATTTATTTTACAAATGAAAATGGTTTGCAAACAACAAAGGCTGCATTACAGTAAGCCACATTGAAGAAGAATCAGTGATAATAGCAGCAAGAACTTACCTTTTGCTTTTGCTTGAACTCTTCCCATGTAATCGTGTGAGAAGTTTTAAGGCTGGCCAAACGAGCAGCATGCCACTCTGGTGAATGAAAAGAACCATCCACCTGCGACTGTCCTCATCAGAAATGTTCAAGGGAAAAAAATCGAAACAAATTGGGGAGGAAAAGGGAAAACAGAAGAATCATCCAGAATGCAAAAATTAAAGTACATTATCCAACCATATTTTATAATCCTAAGTGGAAGAAATTTACTTAAGTTTCCCTCTAAATTAGGAAAATATAAAAAGTGAAGCTTGTCATTAATTAATTTATGTATGCTTAATTTCTGTGGAAGTTTCAAGTAAATCATTTATGACAAGAAAATTTATGAAAAAAACTTGTAGGATTAACTCAATTATACACAAACATAAATTTGGTCATCGTGAATGAAACTTCTCCCATAAATTGCAAGAATTCTTGGATTGTTTTCAAGGAAACACCCATATAAGGATACATTACCAATTGGCCCAATTTTATAAGTGAAAACTGACACCTTAACTATAAAGCAATCGGCTGTTTACTAGCCAAAACCCAGGATACAAGTCCCTGTAAATTCATGAGTTTGTATTCTAAGGGTTCAAATGATCAACACCATCCTAATGTATCATGTATATAAACTTTGGTCTCTCGTAGATGCAAAAAAAGAAGCCCCTGACATGCAAATGATTTTACTAATGTGTGTTAAACAAGGTAGTTTGACACAAATATCTAAAACAATAAACGCATAAATATGTACCCAAATTTCAAGTTCCATTCATTCAACAAAAGATCCCATGAAAAAACAAAATTTGGTCTGCATAAAATCATAAATAGAAACATTTTCAAAGGACAATTAATTCATACTGCTCATAGTCAAAATCAAGAAAGCATTCAAACAAGATAAAGATTCAATGCACACAAAGTTACTTCCTCTTGACTCCACTCTGAAGCACATGTAAGAATATTCCACAATAAGTATGAGAGATGAATGCTTAAGTTAAAATTGCAATTAGTCTTGCTGAATTACTACAACTTAAGGCTTATGTCTTATGTTGTCTTCTCACCCTGAAGGACTACATTTGCGAATTCAAACAAAACAGGAACTAAACACTAAATTTATGAAATTAAGCAACCTAGAAATACAGCACTGAACTTGGTGATAAAGATGGCAAAAATACAAGTATGAGCAGGAAAACTACATGGAATGAAATGCTTAAAGTGACCTCTCTTTTGACAGCAAAAGATAAATTAAATCACTCTATTATAGCAGCTCAATGAGATATGGTAATAACTTCATGAAGTTTTATATCATGGCCAAGCTCTAACTTCAAAACATATTGCCAATAGGACTTGTGCTCAAATGGTTTGGTCATAAGTTGACATCTTAAGGAAATATGCTATGTACACATAGTTTCCATGATCATGCAACCTTTTTTCCTCTTTACTATTTTTTCAAAATGTAATAGCACTATAGCAGCATGCCAGTGCCACTGAAAATTGTTTTATGCAGATAAGTGTATTCAATAAGATTCAGGTAGTGTAACCTACAACTGACTCGTGTAGGATCCAGAAAGTATGTTCTCTCTCTTGGGGTGGGGGGAGGTAGCGTTCATCTCCAATTTCGTTAAATTATAATTGTGGTGCAGGCAAGCAGCCGGCCCAAGTAAACAAGTATAAGATATTAAATGAGCAAAGAACAGAATGACAGAAAAGAATGAGCAAGAAAGAAAATTTAAATTTTAAGGAATTAAAAAATCTAAAAGAAATTTCTCTAAGCATCCTTAGGAATATGAAGTATGGCAATGTAGAAAGATTCTCCAGGTCATCTAGTCCAGTTTTCTAATACCTAAACTCTAATGATTACAGAAGATGCCATATAACCCATTTCACTATGCTCTGGACACACCTAAACTAGTATGGATACTAACCAGCTATCCTGTAGCATTAATAGAAGAATAAAACTGTGCCCTTTAATAGTTCAGATCAACATTAATCAATACCCAAGAAACATAACAATAAATTAAATATCTAGAAGCTTAGAAAACTTAGCTTTTTAGCTGTGAAAAGAATCCAACTTTATGGGACTCAGCTATCAATTTCAATACAATAAAAGAAAGTGTTAACAAGTTTATTGAACTATAAAATCAGTACTGTCTACAGTCACTATTCAAGCGTAAAAGCTTGGACAAATTGGCAATTAAGAATTACAGGATAAATGACCTAATAGCTAACAAAATATATTAAAACACGATTCAAATTTAATCAACATAGCGTGATTAAGACCAAGCCACCCATTGGAACAACTAATTAATTATAAACTAAATAAACAACCTTAAACACTAAGCACAGACAACCAAAATAAATGCAAAGAACGATAATTTAACAACAGAAATAAAAATAATCGCATATGATTAAAATTGAAATACGAATTCCAGAATTAAGTGATAGAGAATAGTATGAAAGGGTACAAACCATGCCGTCTTCGATCTCTTCCGGGCCGGCAGAGCTCGAGCCAAGTCTCGCTCTCTGCATAGCTTTGTATGCTTGATTTTTCCCCATTTTGAAATCTGAGAGATCCCCAGATCAATAAACGAGTGAAACTGCGAGGAAAGATTGATTCCGAGGGAAAATTCAGACCCAGAAAGGAAAATCAAGGAAAAATGTTGGAGAGAGATTTGATTAGGGTATTAACGGTCCAAAACCCATGTAAAAACGAAGGAGAAAATATAAGGGACTGAGGGAGAGAGAATACCGAATGATAGCAATGATAACAAATAATAATAACAATAACAATTATTACTATCGTTGTTATTATTATTGTTATTAGTTTTTTCTAACTTGCGTTGCTTGTGATTTATAATTTTTACTAATTTTTTATTATAAACTATAATATTATAAATATTTTATATCACTAACAATTTAATATTCACAAAATAAAAAAAAAATTTATAAATAAAGTAAGAAAATTTAATAATTAAATAATTTGTTAAGGAAACAATATATTTATAATAAAAAAATATTATTATAATTTGCCAATCAAATATTTTTATAAAAAATTACTTATCGATCAATTTAAATTTTAAATTAAATAAAATTAAAATTAAAATATTTTTATTTTTTAACTAATAAAATTAAAAATCTTTGAAAGTATATATTTATGGTTTATATATCTTATTTAGTGTATAATATAATTTTTTACTTTATTCAATAGAATTTAGATTTAAATAAAAAAGTAATGTAAAGATAAAAAAATTAAATTATTTTTATTTTTTAACCAATGAAAATAAAATTCTTGTTTAAAAATATTATATTCTTATTATATTTAATATATAACTTATATAATATATACTATAATTCTTATTTTATCTAAGAAAATTTAAATAAAAAATTAATATGACCAATTAAAATTAAATTATCTTTATTTTTTCAATCAACCAAATTAGAATATTTTAGTCCATCTATATACATTTTTACTAAGTTGCTGTTAGGAGATCAAAAGCTAATGACAGAAGCCAAATTGATCAATTCAGAAATGAAGTTGTGATTCTATCTCAGATAAATCATGGAAACATTGTTAAGCTTGTAGTCTGTTATTAGAAAATAAATTTCCATTATCAGTATACGAGTTCATTTGTAATGGAAACTTTTTGCATCATATTCATAAGGAAAATTATAGAGAATCTTCATATTACATGGGAAGACTGCTTCAGAATTGCAGTACAAACAAAACTTCAAAATTATTTTTTTTCTGAATATCATCTAAAAGGGTAATTTTCAATAACAGTTTTAACTATAATGTCGAATAGATTCAATAACAATGACAAATAGAAACTTAATAATCTCAGCGTATTGACATTGGTGTCTCATGATTGGTCAATTTGGAAGATGCTAGACATATGATGTAGATGAGAGATACAATGGAGATGTTGATGGGATTATCAGCATGCCGCTTGTGATAGCTATAAGCAATGGTGGAAAAAGTGAATTGACACAAGGCACATATGAAGCCAAAAACATCAGTGAAAGTGTACAATGGCTTATCACTTGAAGACGATGGATACTGCAACCAAAATCTAAGGCCCTCTCCTTTCAAGATAACACCTTGCCTCATGGCCTTCAAATATAGTTCAATCGAAGAAACAACTACGGCGACAACGGACACCGCTAGAGCAGCCAAACTACATTCTGGCTTTTGAGGACTGGCAATTTGATCCAAAGCCATTAACAAAATCTCGAGCACTAGATTGGTGAGTATAAACATCCACTCCAAATTAACCTACAAAAACAAAGACAGAATAATATTATTTAGATAAGAATTATAAACTGTACTTCAACAAGCTTCTGTTGGAATTTTTTTTTGAGTCATTATTACATGATGAGAATGAGATGGTAAACCAGCAGCAGTCGTTGAGGCAAGAAATCGAACAGCTTCTGGGTCATTCGGCTCAGATTGTAAGGAAGAAGGCCAACTTAATGCTCGCTGTAATTCTATCTTTAGTCTAATGCGGCGAGGAGCTATTGGGTGGGAAAATTCTGGGACTTTTGAGTTGGGGACATCTAAATCAAAAATCAAGTTTGTTTGTTGTGAAATTGAATGGGAAACATCAAATTCACTAACATCATTCTCAACGTGCTGCTCCTGTGAAACTGAGTCAAAAAATTCATCCACTGAAGAGTCCAAATCTATTTCACCATCTTTTTGCGACTCGCTATTGTATTTCTCACCGTGCTGGTCCTGTAAAATTGAGTTCAAAAACTCGTCGAAATCTATTTCACCATCTTCTTTTGGCAACTCGGTGTTGTCCTGTTCGCAGTCTGGCTCAGTAACTATAAGTTTACTCGATTTTTTCCGGCGACGGAGAACACTGACCGGACCCTCTAGTGAAATTAGTGAAAGAAATTTAGTGTCAACTCCGCCGTTCTTTTCTCCTTCCATTGTTAAAATAAAAGAGGACGTATATTTGGAGCTCGATTATTATGGGGCTTCAAACAAATCTTAACAGACAAGAAGAGAGAATCAAATACAGAGGGGTGTTTCTGGTTCTCAGTTCTTACCAGTTTACAGTTTCGATTATTATGGGCCTTTCAAACAAATCTTAACAGACAAGAAGAGAGAATCAAATAAGAGGGGTGTTTCTGGTTCTTTTCAGTTCTTACCAAGTTTCAGTTTCCAATTTCAAGTTTCGCCCAAGAACTTGAACTTTGTCCGTCAACAACAAAGAATTTAATAAATACTGATAATAATTTTTATAATAAACAGAGGGGTGTTTGTGTATCTCAAGTTTCTTACAGTTTTAAAACAGTTTCCAATTTGAACTTTGCCCGAAGACTTGACTCTTTGTCAGTTCTTACCAGTTTACAGTTTCCAATTTGAACTTTTGCCCAAAGACTTGACTTTGTTGTCAACGAAAAAATAATTTAATAATACTGATAATAATTTTATAATAAAAAGTTAGTGAAAAGTAAAAACGCGTAAAATGAACTTAGGGCGTTAAAATGATCAGGTTTTAACACATGTATATGAATAAGGGCGAGGAGCCGGTGATACACAGTTCGATTGGCCCACTTTCGGCTGTTTTTATATAATTTCGCTTCCTTATCTTCGGGTTTTCATTATCCCCTTCCTTCAACAAGAAATGAAACCTTTGGATTTAAAGGTGGCTCCTGATAAGTTGTTTCCCACCGAGAGGGTCTTGATTGGTCTTTGCTCAGAAAATGGACGAGGGATTTTTTTTGTGTAACGTGGAATCAAAATCAGAATAGTTAATAGTTGAAGCGGAATACTTCTATAGTTGAAGGCAAGCAAGCAAGAGTAGCTTCGTATTGACAAAAAGCTGGACTTCTGAACTTTCAATGGGTACTGGCAGGGCATACTTTTTCATAGGCTTAATATCATAATATAAAGAGTCCACGATGATTCTAAAAAGTGTATTGCACTTGTACACATTGAGATAGAAATGGTAGAAATGTAAACGCAACTAGCACCTATTTTACTTTCGATATAAACACGCCACTGCTTCTTTCTTTCCAGCGCAATAAACTCTCGCCGGCGACGATAGATTATATTAAAAAAAAGAAAAGTAAAAGTGAAACTCTATTAAACTCAATTCCTCGTCGTTAAAGCAACACGCAACTCAATTAAACAAATCAAAATCAAAAGCAGAACGAGAAAGAAATCAAAAGAAAAATAAAAAAAGAATGAGTAGTTGAATCCTGAAAATCCATGACAGCCATGCACCACCCATGGTCACAGCACCCTGCTCCTTTTGTGATCCTTCTATGAAAATTATGGACTTGTAAATTTTCATTTTTGAAAGATGAATTTAACTTAAACAAAATAATAATCTTTGACTGAAACAATTACTCTTAAATCTCTTTTCAGATAACGAGATGTCCTTATATATCTCCTATTATAATAGATTTGTCTAGATTATATATGGGCGGAGCGAAAAGAAATTATGGGTAGAAAAGAAAATATGTCTTGGCAGGGGTGATTTTGTGGGAGAAAAGAAAATATGAAATTCTCACTTCTCCTTATTTGGAACAAGTGAGGAAATTTAGGAAGAAAGAAAATTTCAATATTTTTCTTCTGGGCCACTATTTATCGATCTCTCCAAGTTGGAAAGAAAGTGATGAAAATGAAGAGAAAATTCCACTATTTATAAGCAAGTACAAAAATTTTAAATTTATAAGAATGACATTTTTCTTCCGATCCAAACATAAAGTGGAAAATAGAAAGGAAAAATGAATAATAACAATCTGTTTTTTATTTTCCTCTTTTATTTTTCTTTCCACTGTTATTTTCCTTCCTCCTCTTCCCAAACATAGTATCAATCTCTCTCTACTATATATTCATTGCAATCTTTTGATGAAAAGTTAGTTCAGTTAGTGCTTAATGTAGTACACAAGACACCAACAGTATAAAAATGTTCATGAAATAGAACTCTAATGGAGATGTTAGAAGTTAAGCAAGGGAATCACTATTGTTAGAAAGCGACACAACTAACACATAGTTCTTCTTTTTCATGTACATGAAGTAACATGTTTCTTGGAGAATAGATATATAACTATGCAAGAATTATATAGTGCAGATTGAATAAGCAGTCTTTTGTTAGGATGACACAGCGACTGAACAAGCAGTGACGAAGCCAGGAATTAAAATCTAGGGACTAAAAAAATTTCCAAATTAAAGAGGCGAAATTGAAAAAATTTACAATTTTAAGAGGTAAAATAAAAAGATTTTAATATTTTATGGGTAAAATCTTTTAAAAAAAATTTGTTAGGAGGGGCAGGGCCACCTCTAGACCCCCTGAGTCCGTGATTGTGAACAAGTGAGAGTGTCTATTGATATTTCAGCAAGTATTCGAGTTTCCACTTGCACATTAGTTTTAAGAAGAATACCTGTTGTAATATTTTGAAAATGGAGCAGAGTCGTTTGCAAAGCTATCAACTAACTTCAACCACCATAACTAACCCACAGGGGAAAAACAGTAGAAGACTTGTATTCATTCTCCCTTCTTTCTACCAGTGAGTCTAAAAGCCCATAAGGTCCTCCAATGACATTCCTTGTTTGGATCCAAATTCACTAATGACTTTGCAAATTCCAATTACATTTCAGGCCTTCATTGCCTAGTTATGGCCTAGTTACATTGGTAGGCTAAACAGTAATTTTACCAAGCCGAAAGCTATTTTTTAAAACAAAATGGTCGAAAAGCAAATTTCGATATTAATTATTGATTTTAGTCGCTCATTTAATTTGTTAAAATTTAGTTTATCTTATGATATTGTTAAAAATTTTGGTTAATCGCTGTGAGAAAATGGAAATATATGGTAAAGCATCGATAACCCTTTCAAATTTTGTACATAAAAGTATAGTTTAGTGGTAAGCGTATTTTCGACCTAACAGTAGATTTAAATTCGAATTTCAAAAGAAAAAACTATTTCAATTAACAAAAAAAAATATTAATTAAATTGATTTGATTAACTATCCACGTTATAAAACGTAACAATCTGCATATCTAAACAATCAATTTGATTAATATGTTTTTGGTGCTTACCCCTCCATGAATTTTTAATTTGATTTTAAATTACTAAAAATTAATAGTAATAATTAAAGTGCTTAGTAGCCAAGTATCTAATATACATAAAACCCTCTCTTTCTCCTAAAACCTAAAAACTCTCTCTTTCTTCTTTTACGCGGTCACCCATTTCCCTTTTTGTTTTATTTTTTTATAAATAATCGTCAGATTTGTACAAATATGAGCTATTGTGTTCTAAATATTGAAATTTATTATTGCTCAAATATTGAGATTTTGTTCTTAGATAGTTTTGAGTTATTGTTGTTACAATTATGGTGATTTTGTCTAGATTTTTTTACTTATTTAGATAGTTATGTAGAAATAAGTGCAGATCTCATCGCTAATAGAAGGAGAAAATTTGAAGGTGATCAAATCAGACTTGTAGAAAGATCATGGAGTCAAACAAACAGTGGCTATTCAAGCAATCGCCTATGGCACAAGTATTATGTTATGTGAACTCGATTAGATACTTCAAATTAAGATTGTGTTTTTTTATTCTTTATATAAGTAGTTTATTATTAGACTTTCTATACGAAAATATAGAAACATATTAATTTGTATCCCAAATCTAAATACAGTTTCCTCTTAATAAAATTATTAGTTTGATTTCTTCTAAAAAAATTAAAGTGCTTATCTACTAATAAATTTGAAATATTTATCAAAAAATGTATTTTTCACAAAATGCTTTAAAAATTCTGGGAATGATTAAAATATATGCTTTCCAAGTAGGCTTTTGAAGGATTTGTATTTGAATTTAGGGCCCCTCACATATTTTAATATGTAATGGACGTTGTATCAATAGCTACATGGCAATCAATTGATTTTCCTTACATTGTCGTTCACTTTCATGTATCAATTTGTTTCAAAATATTATATAAACTCCAAATCAAAATTGAAAAGATAAATTTGGATTTTAATTTCAATTTAGTAAGGGTTTAAGCAGTTTGATTATTATAAATTTAGATTTCAAACCAAAATCCTGGCCAGCCAATTCCTTTATATCTCCTGATCTCATTGATGAGATTTGTAATTCCTAAAGAATTTTTTTATAGAAAGAGAGTCAAGGGTGGACCATTCTTTAACCGCAGGCAGCCCAAACCCGACTTAATAATGGCCGCGCATGAGATCGGAAGAAACCACTTTGATTTTTAGTCGGGGGATGCGAGCATAGCGACCCTAAAATACCTTCTGTGCTGACTGAAGGAAACAATTAATAAAATAAAATAGGCACCAATTTAATAGTCATCATGTCTTTTGTTCTAAAAGAGAAGAGAAGAGAAGAGCCATTAAACTAATAGTTAACCAAATACATAATCTGCATACAAATATTTACATAAAATGTTTATTGATATTTTTTAATTTTTCATTTGATTTGCACGACATATAATATTTGAATTTGTAAATATATATTTTTACATTTCTCTGTTACTTAATGGATATTTAATTGTTATAATTTTATAAATTAAATGTTCAAGATTTTAATTTAAGAATTCAATAAAATTTTTATCAAAAATTCATTTTTTTATTTTTTTTTTGAGGTAAACAAAATTCATGTGTCAATTTCATATAAAAAAATAAATTTTGAATCCCGGTAATTCTATTCCTTTTAAAAAATTTTCAATTTATATAAAAAAAGAAAAAAAGATAGTTAATTTTGCATATTTATATGAAAAAGTTGCCTGCCCATTATGACTCAATTGGCAATGCAGGTAATGTGTGGGAAGAGCACTTAGGTTTGATTCCCACTAAACATACCTGCAGAAATGGGCAAAAAGCCTTAACTGTGACTAATTTCCAAATCGAATTATGTAATTCATGGTAACAAGGTCCGAATACTGGTAGTTTAAAAAAACATATATGAAAAAGTAGGTAATAATGCTTGTAATTATTGTTGTCAATTATTAGAAAACACAAAGTGCTACAATGACGAGTGTCAAAATCACTTACAATATTGTGGGTTTGTCAAATTAAAAGAGGAGACCCCA